AATTAAATCTATCAAAAATTATCCATATCCAGAGTGATCCTTCCTCCTGCTTATATTGTATATAAGGGTATTGTTTCATCAGGCCATTTATATAAACGGGCTATGTCTGTTAATGTTGAAAAATTATTAATTTCTGTACCTAGCTGAAGCATCCCAGGCATTTTTTCTTCCTTCTGACTCTGAGAATCAAGCTTTGCTATGATAACAACAGACAGATTTTAACACAGAAGTTACCATGCAATGTTTGTGCCTTTCTCTATGCAAATAACTCACTTTATTTTCAGTGGAATTGTTTGCTTCAATTAAAGTTGCAGGATCAGACCCATTATATTCACCTTTATAAATCCTATTGACTGAAAATCTTACTTCTGTAAAATCAGAACTGCCACCCCACATTCACTGTTTTACTCCTTTATTCTTCTCATGTTGATAGCAACATGTTTACAATCTTTCCATTTCACAAGAACATGCTGTAATTTGGCATAACTCTTCAATGTTCTCATTTGTGTTGGTTCAGCTCTGTGTCTCATACATGCCCACTCAACTGAGAGAAAACCCCCAAATGTCAATAGTCATAGATGTAGTTTTAAATATTGAAATAAGGTGATGCATGGTTATTTTGATACGTGTGGTGAAAAGTATCTTACTGAATTGTCCAAGTTTAATTTGTGTTATTAGTTACTGACCTTAATGCAGATTAGAATCTTTCTAAGGAAAGGATAGAATTGATTTTTTTCTGCAATGTCCTGCTCATGTGATTTAATATTAAGTACAAGGGAAAAAATGTTAACTGTACATCTCCGTGGTGGTCAGGATTATCAAATGAAGACAAAAATACTAGCTTCTGGTAGCAACATAGACTGTAATTAGTAGAATCAGGACATTCTCCTGCTCATACCCTAAGATCCCAGGGTTTTTTACCCCATTGAAATGACTGGAAACATTTTCACTGACTTTCTGGTAACTGATTAAAAACCCAGTGAAGTAAATAGAAATACTTTCATTTCCACAGCATTTTGATTAGACCCTTGGAGAGGACTAGCACTGATATCTGAAGCACTATCAATTAATCAGAGTGCATCTGCAAAATGTCCATACTCTGCTTAGAAGCAGGCAAGTTCAGTACAAACACTATTACTCAGTTCTCTCAGGAAGTGAAAGCTGTTTTATCTTTTCATCAAATATTATCTTCTTTTTACATTATTTATAGAACATCTCTTACCCTGAGAAGTCTCAAGCAGGACATGTCTGGTGTTCCTTGACTTCATTCTCTCCAGAAACAAGAGCTTTCCTTTTTCTTCTTCTAAAAGTAGGCTTATTGTTCAAGATCTGTTTTGTCTTCTGATAAATTTCAGTGCAATTTGGTGCAACAGAAGATGATATGTATTACTTTCACCTGTAAATTATTTGGCCTTCCTCATGCTGAAGGACTCACACTACATACTTGCAAACAAAACTGCTAGTTTTTTTCAGAGAAATACGTGTGGTAAAGTATGCTTGAAAAGGTAGGAAGATGATCTGAGGGTCAGAACAAAGGCTCACAAATTAGCATTTATTAATTCTTTTCTTGTTGCCACCAATGACTGGGGCAAATCTCTTAGCTGCTCCTTACTGTTGCTTCTGCATTTGCAAAATAATATTAGCCAAAAGGAATCTCATTAGCACAATTAATATTAGTGAATTGTTCTGAGGACCTCATACAAAAGGTTCTATAAATGTGCAATCTGTCATCATATTGTACTATTTCAGGATCATTTGACCCAGTTCTGAAGTAAATACCACTGACAGAAAACGCAACATAAAGCCCCACAGAAAAAAATGCACTTGGGAATTAGTGCTAGAAGTTACACCTACCCAACAAATTGCTTTCCCAAAGCAATTCTGATTTCTGGTTTACAGATAAACTGTAAATATCCTTGATGACATTTGTTGAGGACATAATGTACTTTCTATGGAGAGAATATCCTTAATGTTTTAAAGCACTGGCTCAGTTTTTTATTTACTAGATTATCAGCAGGGCTTAACCAACAACTGCCTCACCTTGGAGATATCTTACCCACATACTGATCCTGCCCAGTCTAGTTAAGCTTGTATGAGTTCTGATAAGATCACCTCCTCAAATGTCACAGCTGCAGGCTGCTTAAATATTCTCAATTTTCGTATATAGAAACAGAACACTTAGTACCATTTGCAATTTAAAGCAGATTCAATTGATAGTATTTCATGACAAGACTTTCTGGCCTGTGGTCCACAAAACTGCCAAGCAGTTAAAATGTTCTGGTGCACAATTGTCTCCAGGCTGCACCTCCTGTCACCTTGTTGCTTGGCTGGAGGCCATGTAAGTGTTTATGTACTTGTTCAGTTCAGGGAATAAGCAAGAGTAAGCATTTATTTCTGTATTTGTCCTGGCTAACTTCTGACTGACTTGTTAACTCAGGATAGTAAGAGAAGTAAACATAAATATGCAATTATATTTTTATGCTGTTGTCTGAACTGTAAAGGAAATATGATTTGGGCACTGGTGTCATCTTGTTGTTACCTGCTTGTCTACTTTTGGTCATCTCTCCAAAGTACATTTGAAAAACACTTGTTTGTTGTAGCACTTTATACAGGTATGATACAGCAAAGTACCCATAAGGTAAATGTTAAGATTGTTATCAAATAAAGATCTTAGAAACAGTTGATATTCTAGCTTTCTAGCAGAGGTAGTTGTGAAAGCTTTTTGTTGGGCTTGTTTCCACAAGTCTCATCTTGTTTTACTATGGACTTTCTGTTTGTTATCAGAGCTACTGTTTTCTGCAGATTGGTATGTTCACAAACAATGAACATATGTTCACATATGTGAACATTCATTCACATATGTAAATGAATTTGTTCGAGGGGTCCAGCTGTTTTAGATTCAAAATGTCACAATCCTACTTTTACTAGAACTATGCCATCCTCTCTCACTTTGCTATTCGGGTATTTAGGTTTCCTTTTGCCTTTTGTGGTGAATTGTCAGATATCTTATATCAAATATGGGATATATATTTGAACATTTGGTGAGGGGCTAGATTTCTGAATTTTTTTTGTCAGTTTTATGAAGGAACTTGCATAAATATTCAGAAGGTATATTTGGAATAGTCAGTGTGCCTCACAAGTACTCACAGTGCTCAGCAAGATGAAGGCCATGCTTCCCAGCAAATGAATATTTTTTTAATATTTTCCGATGTCTTCAGTCTCTTCCCTCTACTCTTCCATTTGTGTCCGTCCTCCATCTAAGCCCTTCTTTATCTCCTGTTTTCCCTTACCTTCCTTTTCACTCTTTTTTCTGTGCCCCTTCTTTGCCCCCTCACTCTAGTTGGCTCCATTTTTCCAAATGCATTCCCCTTTCATTTTCTTCTGCCCCAAAACCAGCCTGGTGTTTCTTTCTCCAGAGTTTTGAGTAAGAATGTAGGTGATATCCTGCTTATTCACACTCAGTCTCTAGTGCTGCCCAGCAGACTTTGTGAAGCTTCCATGTAATTATTAGTTTCTTCTTTGTTTCTTCTTACACAATGTATCTGGGTCACAGAATATATCCCAAATCATACCTGATTACTTTAGAAATAAAGCTTTACTATCATTTTAACTATTACTAGCCTAAAGATGTAAATACCAAAAACTGAGCTTTATTATTTTTCTGTATATGAATCATTAGTACTATAGTATATAGTGTATATATATAGTATAGTACTATATATAGTACTACAGTTACTATTTACAGTTAACTGTAAATAATATAGTTCTGCAAGAGAGGTAGTCAGATATATCAGTGTAATCCCGATGGCAGTAAAGAAATTACAAGGATATATGTAGATGTAATTTTGCCTGCATACGTGTATGCGTGTGCATATGTAAATATGTATGTATATGAAGAAAATTATACAGGGGCACTACTTCTAGTGATGATCCATAAATTGGAAGAAGCAAAATCTGGCTTTTGAGCAGGAGTAAATAAAAATGAATTATGCTTACTCTGAATGACAACCTGAGAAAATACACCTGGAATGCTTCTGCATATTTTTTTTCTATTTAAAAGCAAGAACTTTAATTTCAAAGTTTTGCCTTGTGCTTGCTAAGTCTTAAAGCCCTATAATGTCATACATCAGAAGAATCCATAGTTCCTTCCAGCAGCCTCTAATAATACTTTTAAACTAGAACACAATCACATTAGAGAAATTAAGTGATCGACATACTGGCAGATAGTCTGCTAGGCAAGATGAACCTCTGATCTCTCATATTTTTGTAGTTCAATTGTTCCCACACCTCAGAGCTGTGGGAGTGATCATATATTAAATGTAGACTGTGTGTTTTCAGAGGTTTGCACTTAGCCTTTTTCTTGGCTAACCTTAAGTCAAAGAATCATTATTGTTGGTCATTTTGTCATAGTGTGGCCACTCTTTTTCCGTTTGTGTAATAATAAACTGTTCTGGGCCTCAGATTTTATTGTGATGTTTTCAAGGCGGTTGGCACTAGATACTCCATTAACATTCATCCATTAACATTAACATTCTGTTAAGTTGAGGAGCATTTAAACTCTTTAAAGGGATTATGAGGTAGGATCCAAATGGCATGCAGTGTGCATCTGATCCTCCTTTTTCTGCTCTTCTGTGATGTTGTATGAACATTGTGATTGACCAAGAGCACAGCTGGGTAAGAAACACTGTCTGCATTAACAAGAATCAAGGCATGCAAAGGCTTATTTTAAAACAACATTTTCCATTCTAACTAAATGCATATGTCAGCAGATAAACTGGAAGTTTAACATTGGGGAAGGTTACAATTTACTTAACAAAGGCCATTAATTTGTTAGAACTGCCCAGATTTGATAGCATTAGAAGAACCTCAGCCCTACCAAATGCACTGCTGTTCATTATTCATGTTTTCCAATTACTTCAAAATTATTTTACTTATTTTTGTACTTCTTTTCATATTATTTCCAGAATACACTAATCATTATTAATTTTGTATCTCTGTAGACACTTGATGTGACAGAAGCAAAATTTGTGTTGGATACACTAGCTGGATGCATAGAATTTAAATCTTTATTGGATGTAGTAGTCAATGCCTTTTTTGTTCGGGATGGGAGATACTGTCTGATTTCTGAGCGTAATCTCTATATAGGTAAGTTTTCTTTAAAGCACCAAATATGTTTATCACAAAACTTCAAAATTATTATTTCACTAATTTAATTAATTATGTTATGTTACATTACGTTACGCTATGTCATGTTACAAGTATTGTCATTGTGCCCAGTACAATATGAAATTCAGAACCTTTCCCAATGGCTTTATGATGTAAAACCTGCATCATGGAATCATAGAATGGTTAAGGTTGGAAGGGACCTTAAAGATCACCAGGTTCCAACCTCCCTGCTATGAACAGGGATACCTCCCACTAGACCACTTTGCACAAGCCTCATCCAACCTGGCCTTGAACACCTCCAGGGAAGGGTCATCCACAACCTCTCTAGGCAACTTATTCCAGTATCTTACTACCCTCATGGTGAAGAATTTCTTCCCGATATCTAACCTAAATCTTCCCTCTTTCACTTTAAAACCATTACCCTTTGCCCTATCACTGCCCTCTCTGGTGATCCGTCTGAGTGATGAAAGGTGAAGAGCACAAGTTAAACCTCAGGTTTGGACTCTCACAGGTGTTAACTGGAAGTTTACCTTAAGAAAATTCTGCAGAATATGCCTGCAGATGAGGTAACATTCAGACGGGAAAGAGCATCTGTGAGTTGAAGAACTATCTTGGAAGTTTAACAATCACTTAAAAAATGTTCTTCAGTCATTTCCCTTTATTCTCTTCTAATACCTAATACCTTTGACATTCAGATATTAAATTGTATGATAAAGCTCTGTCTGCTGAGGTACACAGCATGTCTCACAGAATGGAAATACAATTGTCTCTGCCCATACACGGATTTCTTCATTACTGACCATCACAATGGCAGAAATAGACTTCCATCTGTCTCCCAGAGTGAGGTCCATTATTTTCTTTTTAGTAGTTACTTTGTTGGAATCAGTTACAATACAACTATATCTGATAGTGTGAGCTAGTTAATCAGAGTAGTTACTGCTCCCAAAGTTATTTCAGGAATTGAGAAGTACAATACAAAGTAATTTAAAATGTCTTTATGCATGAATTTAATACACATATACTGAAGTTTGTTCATGAAGTCCCTAAATAAGCTGGAATCACAAATTGCACTGGCATTGGTTCTCTAGGTCAGGTATGTTCTGAGGGTTTGTGGGTACTTTGAAAAGTCCAGTCAGTTTAATTCAAAGTGGTTGAAAAATAAAAAAAACCCATACCTAATGTAAGTACACCTACATTTTCTGTTTTTAAAGCTATTAAATTTTTGTGGCAATTCTGATGGCTTCTGTCACAATCTGGAAAGGTATAGAAATCTAAATGAAATCACAAACAAAAGGATACCTAAACTGTCAATGATGAAATTGATAGTATATTGAGTTTGTTCTAAATGGTAATACTTCATTGTCTCCCTTTCTCCAAAGCCATGTTTTTCAGTGTCTGGAACACATAAATTATACCTTTAAGCTGAGTGTTGCTATAATTGGATTGTCAGGACTGGTCCACGCAAAAGCCTCCATTAATCATAGGCAGAGGGTAGGCCCCAGAAAATTTTCCTTTATCAACAAGTTGAGAGTCTAAGGTCATTGGCTTACATTTTTTTAAGCTGCTTGTGATTCCCTTTGCCAAGCTGCAATGACACTTAAATGATCAAAGCTGCTTATAAAGGCTGTTGCTATGTGTGAGCAGATTTGAATTTAATAAAGCTTGTAGGAGATAAATGTATATTCTGCTAAGACTGCTTAAATATGTTGCTACGCTAAAGCACAAGACTGAAGCCTAACAATACACTGAGCTGCCTGCAGCACATTGATCAGAATTTACTGATTTTATCATTACTGTTTGGTGGCAACTAAAATACTGCAGTGCAAGTGAGGCCTGATTGATCAAAGTGAATATGGTGAAATGAAAGCTAATAGAGGAGCTCATGAACTTTACAGGTCTGCAAAAAATCCCACAGTACTGACTGTGCCTCTTCCTGTATTGAATTGCATACTTGCCAGAGAGGGATGCGAGAATCAGATTTGGATTTCCCAGATAACTTCGTTATTTAAAAACTTGGTTTTATTCTTAAAAAAAAAAAAAAAAAAAAAAAGACAATACATCCTAGAAATGTGATCTTTTATGTTTAAATGTTTTGTTATCTGTATTACTGTTATGTGTAACAAACTATGATATTGGAACTAAAGAATAAGAGCTAGTCTCCATGAAAACATTTTCAAAATATTATCTTGAAAATTCACCGTCAAAACTCTCTTTTACACCACCTCTTCACAGTAAATCTTCTCATAGTAAGCTTGCTCACAGTGAAAATTTTAGTTACACTGAAAGAGAGCTGTTTCCAATAATATAATGCTGTCAGAAACTTTTCAGTCATGTCTCTCAGGAGCCATCTGACTCCTGTTCTCCCTGCCTTGTTGCCAGACTAACACAGAATCTCACGGATGGTATATGCAGATATTTGTTGTATTATTTCTATGAGTGAATTCAGATAGCTACAATTGTTTTACATTTGTTGTGAAAGTGGACAGATTTTCAGCTTCTAGAACTTCCATAAATAAAATTGTAGATTTGCACTAGCTTGTATCCAACTCAAAAGCAACAACTGGTTTTTATGAACCATAGCACAGAGTCACAATGCTAATAATGAACATAGGGTTAAAGTTATAACTTCATAAAACAATTTGTCATTGTCAAGTGTTATATTGCTCAGTTAGATAAACAATCTTGAAGATTATTTAAAATCAAACTAACAGTCTAAATCCTAGAGTATGCTAAGTATAGGATATAGGTTTGCTAGACTTTCCTGCTGCATTTTAAATGTGTTTATCTTTTGATAGTTATTTGTTATCTGGCTACTTTTCAACTAGAAGAGCTTGGTTTTCAGCGCTTCAGCAGAATTGTGAGATCTCTGGACACTGCAAAAATGCAAAAGGTAATGAAAGTACAAAACTATTTAAAAAAAAATAAGTTATTATATCTTCATTGTGTTTGTTTAATCAGATTACTTTTCTCAACTTTCAAGATAATTTAAATTGAGAATTAGTGTTATCTTCTGTTTAAATTCGGAAATTAAATTAATATTTTGTTACCACAAAATTCTTCAATTTCTATACTGACACAGCGACTATTTCATATTCTCTTAAAGAGCAAGTTAAAATATATTTTATATCAGATAGAATAATCACATGATATACATTTCATGTAATTTACAGTTGTCCCTCTAACTTGCATACTCACTCTTTTATTTACTATAGGCAGGAAAGGTTTTTTCCATACTCAACTAATTAATCTACTGAAACCTGCAGTTCCTTCTGATTAGTGTTCTTTTTTTCCCTGAATGACCCACTACCACTTTGATTATCAAGCACGTTGTCCTTCCATTGTTTTGTCTCCTTCCCAAAAAAACAATTCCTGATTTGGAGCTAACCATGTACCAGTTACCCCACAACCTGTGTGCAATTGACTGAACCATTGCTACCAAACAGAATGCATGACAACAAAGTTCTGCCTGCCTTTTCCTCTCTGGGGTCATAAGGGTGGGTTTTGCTCCAATACCTGTTTGTAAATTTTCATAAAACTTGTAGAAATTTAAATGTTTTCTAGTTCTCTTTCTCTGCTGATTATCTTAAAACCTGTGTTGTAAAGAGGGGTAGAGAGATAAACTGAGAGGCAATGCTTTCTCATAAGCCCTATTTTCTTAGGTAAATAGGTTAAAAAATGAATTACTGGTGACACCATATGTAAACTTTGATCATGCAGATGTTTCAAAGCATAGTTCAAACACAGCATTTGAATAACAAATGGGGAATTCAAGAGTAATTTAGTAATTAATTCTCAAAAGGCTAAGGTTTATCCTTATACTGATGATTACTTTGAATGTTCATGTGGATGCCAGTGTCTCTTTAATAAGAACAGTTGCTTTGTCATATGTAGGGAGTAGGTTAGGTTATCTGCACAATGTTTTTAGAAGCTCTCCATTCACTTTGTTTTGATGGGCTTACTATGGAATGTTTTTATTAATTCCATTCAGAGACAAAAATTATATATTTCATTAATTGTTAGAGAGAAGTAGCTGGAAGAATTATCATAATCTGGTAGACAGACAAATCACTCTGTCTAAAATGCTCTCCCAGCCCCTCCTTTGGTAAACATTTTAGACACAAGCCACAGGATTGGATGCATCTCCATCTCATTTAGATAGCAACACAATATTCCCACTTCATGCCAGATATCTCTTGTTGATTCCTTTCACCCTGCTTTATATGGCTTAAACATCAGTGCCCTGATGTTCTATTTCAGATTATTTCTGCTTCCTTGTCTGAGATAACTCTTCTGATAGAGAAGTGCTGCATTATGCAATGGTGTGCACCTGCTACTTTTTTTCCTGTAAATCTAACTTTGTTTGCTTGACTATCTTATCAGATCCTCATCACCATGGTACCTAGCTTTTCTTGTCTTGCATTAGAAGAGGTTCTTTGTCTTCAAAGTGATGCTAGATTATATTAATGCACCTGCAGCAGAGGATTTAGAAGCAGCATTTTGTCCCCCAGCAACAGAGACAAAAACAGCAGAAGGCAAATCTGCAGCCTTAGCAACAGAAGTTGTCAGAAATTGGGGATTCTCCTTCAGGATACTGACCTGTAGATTTTGCCTGATGACTACTGTGTCTGAGTTCAGCTGAGATGTATAAAAATTATTCACACATATTTACTTAGATGAGATTTACCTTAATTAAAAGTATTTTTTCTGCACATCACAGTCTGAATGGAATTTTCTTAATCATGCACGTAAACCTTACTCAAATGAGTACTGTTCATAAAATTAAATGGACTATTCAGTTGAATAAGATCAATTTATGTGATAAGACCTTTCTCTTAAAAGGACTGGATGACAATCCATTCAAATCCAAGTCAGTGTTTCCCTATGATTGATGCATGTTCAAATATTTTCATTTAGGCAGAATACACAGGCAGAATAATAATGCATGAACAGAAAACCTTAAGGTCTCATTCTGTAATGTTAACAATACATGCAACAATTCCTTATGGTTGTATAATTACAGAACCATAAGATAAACCCCAGATTTGTAACTTTAGTGTGATTGTTCTTCTAAGAACTTAGCTATGCATTATTAGCTCAAGCCTGTTTTTCTGATCTGTTATTCATACATGTTTTTCTTTTATATTTTTTGTAAAATTTAAGGATTTATATGCTAGATAATGTACACAATGGAAACAAAAATTTGAAGTAAACAGCTTTATCATTTGATAATGGCCTTGTAAAAAATGCAAAATTAGTAGTGTTTTCTTTCTAGCATTCAAGAACCTGTTTTGTTCTGATTCTGTTCTGATCGCTTCTAACAGCAGTATAGTCCTTTATAAAGAACTTCTGATACCTGTAATTGCTATTATGATGATGTGGGGATAGCAGGACAAGATTAGTCTTGTGGTGGGCTTGGGGGCAAAAAAGTCCAAGTTGAGTCAGACAATGGCAGAATGACCTGAAACCATGTTAGGACACTTCTCCCTAAAAAATAGAGTTACCCATTACAATTTCTTCATAGGAAAACCTTCTTAAGAGCTTCTTGCCTTCCTCTTTATTTTTCTGTTGCAGTTGAAAGGTACAATTCTACAGGGGATTGAGGTGGCATAGCTGGAGGATTAAACTACAATAAGAGGGAAAGAATCAGCAAATTAAGGGAGGAGTGACAGGAACCCCCTTGATTGCCTTTGCTACTACAGCAGTACCTGTGGGTGTGTTCAAATAAAATAATATCATCCTCAGGTAATGGCTGATCTGTATGGAGAAACAGAACCTGCTGTTCTTTGTGACTTACTTAACTCAAGAGTCAAAAGCTGATGTTGTGAATATAGGGATTTCAGCTCTGCAAAAGACTATGTGAATGTCAAGACAGTACCAGATGAGGAAAGTTCCCATTTTTTAATTTGCTTTTTAGAAATCTATACAATCACACTGTGTAAAAATATGCTAAGAATATTAGCAGGCATGTTCAAATTCTCAAAAGCAAGGTATTAATTCAACCTGTAAAAATGCATTACCAAACAGTTTTTAAGTACACATACTTGTCCTACTGCAGCCAGAATACATTAATATAGTAAAAATGAGTACATTTCATTTCTGGTGTCATTCCACTACTTGTAGAAGCAAAATGAATCTTGGTTATCATGCTCTGTGAGTAATGAAACTCTTGGAACATTCAAGACAGGAGTAAGCAGAATAAGGCTGTTACCAAAGTGACTGTCCAGTGACTTCTCTAAAAACACAGATGCTGGTAACATCCAAACAAAAACCTGTGTGAACTTCAAGCCGCATTTTGCTTCTGTAAAGCAATGACTGCTAATATTGGGATTGCCACCTGTGTCACATGTGGCCAAATAGAAATTAGAAATATAGGGGATTTTCCCTAGTAATTCAGTTCACAAAACACAAATGTTTCTATTGTTAAGAAACTGTGCTGTGACTTCATGGGTCTTATTCTGCCCACATTTGTCATCTGTGATATGGATTATCTAAATCAAGTCTGTGGCTTTTGACCAGGCAGACTCTGGTCAGAAATGATATCTGGTAATCCTGCATTGCCATTTGCAATCCCTGCATTGCTTGGATAATGGTTCCACAGCTGCATTCAAAGCCTTGTCTAGCATGATGCATATTGGGGCATATCCTTGTCATAGCATTTCTTTGGGGACTGTAAGTAAAATAGTACTAAAATATACACTACAGTATTGATGTCTGATTACACAGTCAAGTATTCTCTGTACCTTGTAGGAGCACATCATAGCATTTATCAATGACATAATTACCCATTTGTCTTAATGAAGTGAAATGTTAACAACCAGTGCATGACTGATGTTGCAGTTGAAGGCCTCGAGAAGTAATGGCCAGTTAAATACAACAGCTAGAAATCAGTAACTGTGTGCCTTTATTGTAGTTTCATCTGCCTTGAAGAGGTAGTTGTGTGGCAAGTACTTTGTAAAAGATAGTTACAACAACTATTTAAAAGACATAGTTGGAGAAGGTCAGTTCAGAGGCTTGGTTCACATGGCAATGTAGTAGACAACTGATTGAAGCCTCTGAGGATGGACTAGGCTATGAAAGGGAAATACTGGGAACACAGAGAGGGAGGAGGAGTTCAGCTTAATGGAAGCTAGTGAAAGATAACTAGAGGATTTACTATCACCACTTGCAGTGTTTCTACATCAACTTGCAGGAGTTCTCTGAACACCTAGAAATTTGAAACTGGCTTGACCCTTCGGGGTCTGCCTCATTTTAAGTAGATCAGCTTACGTTCAATCTACCCCTGTATACACACTTGCTTATATGGGTTTAAAACCACATTTTTAATAAACTTTATATATAGTCAGGGCCTTTTGTAAAGTAAGAAGAGTACTGTGGCAGGGAACATGGGCCTGTAATCATATATACAGCTGGGATACCTGGATGTCTAATTTTCTCACAATAACTGGTAGAAGCAGTGCAAATAGAGTGCATCAGCTCTGTTGAAGAGTATGAAATCTGTCCAGACTTCTAGCGGTTTATTCATACATTGTATAGTACAAACTACTTTGTTAGGTGAAAAATGTAATCCAACATGCATGCACTTTTGGCTCCATAAGTAGAATGAATGAGTTTCTAGACCAATGGGATGAAATACATCCTTTAGCATATACTTAGCACACTCCAGACTCTGGAAGCATCAGAAAGCCCAACTTCTTCACAATTCAAAGCTTAGTTTATAGTCACACTTTTAGGAATAAAATATCTTCTATTGGATGATGTCTTGATATGCCAGCACCTGCAGTTTTGTGGAAGAGCAGTAGTTTCTAGACAAGAATGAGAATCCAAGGGGGTGATACTCATTTAGTCCCTCAGTTGTTGATCAGTCTTTTGACTCTACCAAGACTACAGCAGATGAAAATAAGACTAATTTTGCAGGTGAATTCCTTGAAAATGGTCACATCAAGGCTACAGATTTCAAGTAGCAGGCTTTCTGCACCTGTTAAACATCTGCAGCAAACACTTTGAGTCAAATCTGGATTGGTTTGAGCTGAATTATTCACCAGGTTTTGAGCCACCTTAGGTCTGGCAGCACGTGTGAATTGAGAAGCTCCTTGGTAGTCCTCCAGAACTAAAAACTCAGTACAAAGACCTATATGGCTTTGTGGAAACCAACCCAAGACAGGGCTGATGCCAAGTGTGAAGTAATAAGCTCTGCAGTCTCCATTCGAAGCTTCTCAAGTGATTGCACACTGCTTTCCAGTATGGCTCATGAAGTCCATGTTATTTAGTGTAGCTTTTTTCTATTATTTCAGCAGGTACTTTCATTTCCCCGAATTTTAATGAAAAAGGTCAGGTTCAAATTTGGAATTTATATTGCTGTAAATGATACACACTGAATCCGAGTGCCATTTTTCAAGAGTCTCTTTCAAAAAGCCATTTGAGCAGTTCAAGTTTTAAAGAAAGGCTCTTGACCTTCTGGTGAACTCCAGAGGGGGAAAAAAGTTCAAATGCTCGTTGCCGTTTCTCCAGCATATGGAGCCCTACAATGTGTAAGTGTGCCAAATTTCAGTCTTCTAGTTTAATGGGAATATGCTGATTTATTATATTTCAATAAAAGAAGAAACCATATTGTACAGCTGTTGCTATAGCTGTCAGCAGTCCTTTCTGCTCAGTTCCCAGGGAGCTGAAAGGAACTTGAGTAACTCGGGTGCAGCACCAGGCCTGAGTTGTTTCTGGGCACCACAGTTCATCTAGCTATAAATAATCAGGAGTTGATTGTGAGTATATTAGACTTTGAAACTCTGTTGTATAATTATACCAAAATCCATGCATTGCAGTAGTAATTAATTTTTAATAAAACCTTTTGTGTCACACTGTGTAAAGCAAGTTAAAGATGGCACTAACACCCCCTTGTTGCAGCCCCTACATATTTCTTAGGCTGATAAAAATATTTTAGTATCTATTAGTGGTTTACAAAGTAGGGCTGAAAGACATGAGGCTCTCCTAACAGAGCTAAGAAGAGCGTAGAAATATTGAGCACCTGTGATGATAATTAGAGTATAAAACACAAGGAAGTTCTTCTGCAGTGTTTGTAGTGAAAGCACCTATCTTTTTGTAGTTGTATATAGCTATACCATACCTTCAGTTTCATCTGTAATAGAAAACACTTATTGTTAGTTTCTCAGATTCTTCTTCAATGCCTTGTATTTGAACACATGGATAAAAGATGAATGGAGTCATTTCTACGATTCAGTGTATGTAAAAGAGAACTGGATTGATCCACTGCTAAGGTAAGCAGTACTTCAGTAGCCCGTTGCCTCCTTGAAGTTTGAAAGCTGAGGAAAGGTTTTCCTGAAAGATTTGTTTGCTGTTATTAAAGTGTTTCTCTTATTGAAGTCACTCAGAACACTCCTTGTCTCTGTAAGACTATGGTAATCCTTTTTACTTACCCAGAGGCAAGGTTCTCTCTTAGAGAAGTCACTTCATACCTGTTGTACATTTGTTTCTCAGTGCCTCTGAACAGATCAAACATCATACTCTGAAAAAAAAATAAATAGAAGGTTCAAAATTATCCTACAGATTCGTAAGTCAATTCGACATCTGTATGATAATAAACGTATGAAGAAAGGTCTTTGACTTCCCTAAGTTTGGCTTTCTGCACAGACTTGTTGATCCTGATGGTCATAAAATCCATTCTGAGCAAATCAGATAAGCATGTAAACAAGTTTTTTTAAATAATAATTTATTTACACAATTGCAGCATCATTTAACTATTTAAATTCTCTGAGTTCCCAGTTAGGTGATGATACAGTAGCATGACTACCCTTGCCAGACTGGAGAAACAATAGGTCTGCAGCCTGCTGTGTTGCTTCTTCACTCCCATTTTTACCCAAAACAGATAACATGGGTACACCTGTATGGATGCAATTCTCCTCACTGCAGTACAGATTAATCCATAGGGTAGCAAAAACTGTTTGACAAAGATGTGTTACAGACAATGTCAGCAAAAAAGTGTTTGCACCTAGTTCTGTCATACCAAAGTCAGTAGAATGCATTTTTTCATACTTTTTAGATTTTGCCAGATTAGCAAGTGCATAGTATAGATTTAGCTTGCAATCCTGCACGTTCCACTCAGTTCTACAGGAACTGCAGGGATAATTTGACTCAATCTATTCTACTGTAGTAATTCTAATTATGACATATGCTTTTGATAGTATAAAGAGACAGATAGAGATGCATAGATATATACACACATCTCCACACACTTTTATATGTACATATGCACGCAGGCAGGTACTTAATCTATTGCTTGTTTAATTAACACTGAGCTTATTGGAGCTGTCCCTCACAGTCAGTTACATTCAATGTAACCAACACAGGTTTTGGCTAGAAGAAGTAAATGTAACTTGGACAAGAATGTAAAAGACCATACATGGTTACTGGGTTTGAAACTTCCTTCAGGGGGCTGAGGATGCATCAGTTTGATCAGTTTAAGCATTGATCAGTTTAATTGGTTCTGGAGCTTAAATTATTTAAATATTCATCTTTTTAATGTCAATGAGTTTAATATAAAGAGTTCTATTTATTTTAATGGAGCTGCATTACTTGCAGAAGGTACTCGCAAGCCTCATCCCACGATGGCAGTACCAGTTAAGGTAACAGTCACATAAACAAGGTACTGTATTGCATGTCAGCTGCTTTTTAAGTTCTGGGAAAGCTCTGTTGTGTGTGAAATACTTAAGGAGATAACACATATCGAGGAGGAGTAACTGACATGAAGCTGTCACCATAATTAGCCCTGTGTTAACTTATTTGGGTCTTACCTTGAATTCTGCACCTTCCTGTCATTCCTTGGAAGACGTCTGACCCTTCATAGAGAAACCAAACAGAGGGTTCACTGAGGGTTCATTTGCTAATTCAGCAAACTCCTTACATCTTTATATTTTTTATCACAACTGCCTGTGCTATGAGGTTGGTTCATATGAGCTTTGTCACTCGGTAACGGTGACAAGAGTCAGACCACTGCTCACAGTCTCTTCATCTAAGTATGTAAAGAGTGTACTTAGCTTATGGAAGCTGCTTTTCTGATTTGTAGTCTGATCCTGCTGCAAAACAAACTGGTGATATAGTTGCTTATTCAGTAAAAACTGTGGCTGTTCCAGCACAAGTAGGTCTGAATGGATTAGCAGCTGTCAACAGGTGAAGTAACCCAGTCCAGCTCGATCATGGGTACAGATTCACAGATCAATTTTATTAAAACTGAATGGCTGAAAGCATTACAGAATTCGCACTGATGCCAACCCCACATTCTGCGTGTAAGTTTCTGTGAAAGAAAAACATGAAAGAAAACTGAAAAATGTGTTTTTATTTGAAGATGGCAGCCAAAAGTACAGCAACTGATCCAACAGCTCACAGATAAATTAAATTATCGTGCTCCTGCTGTCAAGACTTTGAAGGTTACTCAGCCAAAGGAATTTAATTTGACTGTACCCAAGCCACGTGCCACTCCCATACCTTCACCAATACCAGTACTGGAAAAAAGCCTACCTGTGAGTTTTTTTTATTCTTTGAGAGATGCTAAGTTTTATGTATGCTTGTGCACAAAATCAGGGTAGGGGAGTTAATAGTTAATAGTCTCTTTCAAAATCACTGTAGAAAATCTACATTTGACAGATCAATGAGGATTTTTGTAATATTCTGTGTTATTTGAGATCATATTTTTAAAATACCATAAACCAATTATTTTCATTTCAGTGAATGTTGTGTATATGCAAATAGTAAGCCAAACAAAGGAAAGAGAAAAGGTTGGTTCTTGTAGCTGTTTTGTGACTTTTGGAGGTAGAAATATACAATGGTTATGAATTGAAGACAGCAGTGATACAAGTGGTTCCAGTAGACCTTGCATTTGTAAAATGTTTGCTTTGGATAATGGGCTGAAACAGGTAACAAAAGAGCATTCAAATGAATTTTTTAAATAAACTTCAATTTTTTGTACATGAACTCACACTAAAAGAGGTCCTCCTTGAGGGTGGAATTTTATTCCTTTCTATTTATATTAATGTTGAATCTTAAACTTAAGGTTTTTCATTTTAAATTTACTGCTAACATATAAATGAGCCTAGATTTATCTTTGAAATGCCATGCTTTTATTTTATCCATTGTCTAAGATTGTGATTCAGTTACAAATTGGAGACACAGGATTTGGTTTTAAGTTAGATCACTGGGGTAAGGCAAATAGGATTTGGGATCAAGCTGCTATGACTAACTTAATAAAGACTCCCAAATAATCTCTATTTAAATGCAGAGGGAAGTGAGCTTGGAAGTCATAGTTCTGGGCATTATCTGCCACCTTGTATTAGCACTTCAGGTTTTAAATAATACATGTGTTGAATGCTCTTAGAAACCATTTTCATCTTAGGATGGCAGGGCAATTTAATGGTAGTGTGTTACACAGTTAATGGGATTTTACATTGAAACAGCTTAATATGAGGCTCTGAAAAACTGCATTTAATAACTACTTAATCAGTATACGAATGAGTCATATTGCTGTCATTTTAGTACCTTAATGCTGCACAGCCCCCCTTAGAATAAATTTGCTTTAATGTGGATGCATTCACTGAAGTTCATTAGTGTTGTTAGGATTATACTAAATTTGGTTTACATTTGGCAAAATCTGCAAATTTAAAAGCTTGTGTGAACCTAAAACCATTAGTGTAGCAGTGACATATGTTGTGCTCATTTCTGTACCTATCTCAGCAAATTAAACTTCATTTAATTTGCCATATTGTTGCCGGTATCACCATTTAGATCCTGAAATGAACAGAGACTGAAAAGACAGCCCAGGTGGCAAGAAAGAGTTAGTAAAATGGGAGCAAGGCATAGTTTTGGCTACTGTGTAGTGGAGAGTTGTATGTAATTGAGAGGAATGCACAGAAATAAAGCTCTTCCAGATTACATCCCATAATCTGCTGCAGAAGTGTTCTCATCTGTTTTCTCACCAAGTTGTTAGTTTTATGAGATACGCATGATTTCTCACCGCTCTCATGCATCTGTCAAAGAACTTGTCATGTGCCGGATTAGCAGGGACTGTTGCAGTCACAGTAACTCCAGGGGTAGTTACTGCTCAGCTTGGAAAGAGCTGCATGAATCCATATGGAGGCGTCTGGTAATTAGCAACAGAGCAAGAGGAAATGGCTTCAAGCTGCAACAGAGTAGGTTTAGACTGGACATGAGGAAAAAAATGTTCACAGGAAGGGTGGTTAGACACTGGGATAGGCTGCCCAGGGAGGTGGTTGAGTCACCATCCCTGGGTGTGTTGAAAGGTCGCTTGGGTGTGGTGTTGGTGGCTATGATTTAGGGGAGAACTTTGTAGAGTAGGGATGATGGTTGGACTCAGTGATCCCAAGGGTCTTTTCCAACCTGAATGGTTCTATGATTCTATGATCTATAATGACCTTGCAAAGTTTTATGGGAATAACATAGGCCTGGAAGGATAGGATAAACAGTCATCATCAGAAACATTCATCAGAAATGGAGGAAAAGCAAAAACACTTCCCTTTTGAAAGTTACTAAGGAAACTTTTCAATCTAAATATTTGGTCTAAAGATGGTAAATTCTCTCCACTGTCCTTTGCACACAAGCACACACATATGCATACACACGTTAATAAATACAGCTCTACAAAGAAAAATGAGTGCTTTAGCTTAAAGTTTGAAAAGGAAACAAATGGAGACAGGTGCTTAAAACTGATAACATGCACAATTATTTGGACTCTTTTAACTTCCTTGAATATCTTAGCCTTGAGCTACAAATAAAATCCGTTATTTTAATATCTCCACTGCACTAGAACAGTAAGATTATACAATTATTTTATTTCTAGATTTTCTGTAAACCAATAGTTTAAAAAATAGAAGACTACACTGAGGTGTTATTGTGATAACATTTGGCCAAATCTAATTTACATATTTTCCTTATTATTTCAGCTGTGCTTTATGAGTGGAGTTGCTTGATTATTTAAAATCATTACATGGGTGAATTCATTTGGCCAATACAGAGGATTTTGTTTGCAAATATATAGACTCAACAATATATTCCTCTTTATGATCTTGTTATGTATAAAAATAGAAGCTCTTAATACAAAAGCATTGCATTACCTTGCCCTTGTCCATCCTACAACTGTAACTTTAAAAAAAAAATAGAAGAGTGATGACTACCAAAGCTCAATGTGATTATTCATGTGGTATCTACTCCCTAAATAAGCCTCTGGTAAAAGGATATCCAGAAAGCTGGAGAGGAAAAGCAAGGTTGTCTTTTACTCCCAGCCCCTTTTCTTCACATTAGGATTAAGTAGGTACAGTTTGGCCTTTTTAATCACTCTGCTGCTGGAATTTACAATTTACTTACAGTGACTTATTCATCTTCTTCCAGCAACTGGGTAATTGCTGTATTGTCTGTCTGTCTGATTGATACTCATCACCACGGTATCTGAGGGCTAAATTACAAAGCTAAGACCATTTTTGAAACAGAGCTGATTGAACAGTCTCCTCCTTAAATTACTTGGAATAAGCATAGCAGTTTCTGAGGAGACATTTTCAGCTTACTGTGGCAGACAGTTTTGCAGGTAAAGCACATAACTAAGAAGAACACAAACTGATACTCACTGCCTGTGCAACCCTTTGCAAATCCTCTGGGGTTTAATTTCTCCATCCGTAAAAGTATAATAAAAATTCTTAGATACTGCTAGGAAATACTTTCAGGTCTACTGTAGTTAAAAAGCTCACAGGAATACTTGAGCAGTCTCACCAGTGCATTGAATTGCTTGCTGCTTTTGCCTGTGCATTTGTTTTGCCTGTAGATAATGATGTCAAATAGAAAAGAGAGTGGAAAGCACATCAGATTTGTGAGTTCTTCAACACATAGCTCTTCATGTAGTCCAATAAAACTAAATGGGATGCTCATGTTCCCTAAAATGACATCCAGTACAATACAGATTATAGATTTTTCCCATGAATTCTTAAATTAATTCTGTAACTGTAGAACATTTGTAGCAAGAAAAATATTTAAGCAAATGTCCAGTAGACTGGCAACTTCTGTTTCCCCTTGAGAGGGCCTATAGGATTTATTATTTCTTTAGCCTCTCTTGTACTAGTTTCACATTTTTCTTTCTTTCTGGTCTTTTGACCAGGGATTGTGTTACATTGAACAGGACTGAAAAGCCTGGGTAGTCCCAGCTAATTGGAATCTGTCTTCACCTTCTGGACTGGAAGTAATAGAAAAGAATCAATATTTAAAAAATAACTGCAGCTGCTCTATCGTAAAAGGGAATGTGTTGGGTTTTTTACCTGCAAGAATGTGTCACTTTGAATGTTTTATACCCCCTACTGTGGATATTATTGCCTTTTCATTTAGGTTCCTCCAAGCACCTACAAACCTCCAAAGGAAAAAAAGCAACTAGAGGAAATTAAAACAAAAAATCGCCAAAAAGCTGAAGTAAGTGTGTATGTTCTTTTTCTAGTTTTTCCTTTCTTCTAAACTCTTTCTTGTGTAATGTCCTGTTTTCACAAGTCTTAGAATTTTACATGAAATATTCTTGCTTTTGCACCTAATAGCTATTAGCTTTTTCTCTAGAGTCCAGCGTTTTTATCCTCTGTTCTCTCCTATCACCTTTTTTCCATATTCCTTATTCTATTAATAATTGTCAGAGACAAGGTCCACCTTCTATTCACTATACAAATACTAAGTGAAAAAATATGCAAGTAGCCATGTGAGGTGGCAGAAACATGATGACTTTCTTCTCTTCATAAGCCTGAAATAGTTGGATGTCTCTCATACTCCTACAGGACATTTATTTAAAGTATTCACTTAATAATGAAGGCTTCAAAATACAAAATATGTTCGATATTTTTGTTTGTTTTCTATAGTAACTGACAAATAAGCACATGTCATTACACATAGTTTTAAAATACTAGCAGATTCTGACTTCTTTCTTGTGCACACTTCATACTCTTCTTCAGCATGCTGAGAGACTGGGAAGTTGTCAGGATTTGCAAAGAAGCAGAGTACATGATCTGTGTGTTAAGAGAGCAGGAGGAGGGTGTTCTGGAAAAACAAAGAAACAGATCTAGTTATTTGATCCAAACTTTGATATGAATCCTGTTCGATTAGTTAGCTCCTGTCTAGTTAAAGCAGATTGCTGTCGTCTCTTCCCTGGAAGGGAATTAATTAAATGTCAGTTTCCACTTTCTTTCTTCCTCCCAACTGCAGTCACCCCACCCAGTCGAGTAACAGTATAAGCTTGATAAAAGGCATGTTATTTGACTCCTTTTTATCTGCACTCTCCCACTCCCATTCTGAAAATGCCTTACTCCAGCTTTCACTAGCCAGTACAAGTCCATTTATCACTGTTCTGGGCTCTCCTCATGTCCTTGCAAAAGGGACATAGGATTCTGTTCCTAGAATAAGTGCTTCAATGTGTGATACATTCTAGGGGGATAAAATTTTCATTCTTTTGCTGGCCCATCACATTACCTCTGCTTGGTATTTCATTATAATGAAATGCACAGTGTTATTTTTTATCCTTCAATTATTTCCATATTGTGGAGAAAGCACACACCTATTTGTCTGTCAGCTTATTTGGTACGTACAATCTTCCTAGAATAACTGGGGAGGTAAAGCAAGATATCATAGTGCCTATAATGTCAAAAATCTATGACAAGTATAAAATCACTTAACTACCAGCCACATTCTTCAGTGGAGAAAATACAGGAATACAAAGAACAAAGGAAAACCACCACAGAAATTATAGCTGCAATAACAGCAGTTTTTGTCGCCTCTGGAATGTCATAAAAGGCATCCAAAGCATTCACAAAGGTCAGTTCCTTAGACTGTTTGCTAAACAAGCTGAAATGTTGGGTCCTAAAAAGAAATCTGCATTAAAAATGCCATTTGTTTGATAGTAGTTTTGCAGAAGCTTTAGCTGTCATGATTAACTGCCATGTCTGAAAGAAGGAGTGATAAATCTGGATGCCAAACTCCAGCCATGGAAGCATTGATGTTATGGACAGCTGCTGTACAGAAAGCCATCAGAAAATTTAGTCTGTGTTTCACAGCTTTGAATAGAGATTACTGGTTAAAACCAAAAGTAATCTCCAGAAACTAGCAATGTGGCTGCCTGTACTTCTCTCTTTCAAATGACAGGTGGAATTACTGGTAGGTGTGTGCCTATTGGAGCAGCCCTCGGTTCTCATCTCTCTTGCTCACAGTCTTCTAATTTAACTCAAAAACAAAGACATTGTCTGTTAGTTGCATGGGAACAGTTACTATCTGTATGCCATACATTATTATGAGGCTTTCAGTTGAATTTTGGATGAGCAACACGTTTCCTATGGGCAGATCTGTTGAAGGCCTGATGCCCTATTTGAAGGATACAAGCAGAGAGAACTATATAGAAAATCAAGACTCGTCTACTTCAAGTCTTTAATCAGGAATGAAAATTCATGTAAATACTAAGTCAAAGTTTCATTCATTGGACGTAAGGTAATACTGGGCTGGGCTGCAAGGCTTTTTGGGAAAAATTAAAGAATTTAAGTGTACCACAGTTTTTAAACTAATTGCTTTAATTTTAGGATCTACTCCTGAAAGCAAATACTTACAAGTTCAGGTGTGCAAGCATGAAGCCTGAAAAGAGAGAGGTATGCTACAAAATATTTTATTACCTAAAAATCCTCCAGTGTGAAGATGAAAAATGACTGGAGTATTTCAAAATATCTCAAAGTATTTGAAAACTTTTGTTTATTTGGTGTTAAGAATTATGTGCTGTCATTTATATCTGTGCTGACATTTCACATCCATATGCTAACATTTGCCTTTTTGCACCCAGGAGATACAACTTCCTTTTCTTACACTTCTGGTGCTGCTTTATTATTCTCCCAGTTTTGAGACAAGCAGCCGTCCTGTGATATTACTCCATCAAGTCTACACAATGGCAATATCTCGCTAAACCCACATTTTTTTTTTTCCATTAACTTTTATGCCACAGAGCAGCCAAGCTGAGGGAATAATGGTCCCATTCATAGAGAATTCTTGCTTTGGTTGATTCCCAGTTCACAACTATGTCACCAAACTATGTATGTAATATATTCATTTCAGCATCACATCTGCATATTCTATTCCCTGTGTTCATCTCCATGATACCAGAAAGTTTCACATCAGTATTTATAGCTAACCCCATAAAATTAAATTAATAAACATCAATAAAATTATAGTACTATTTAATAACTTCATTAAGCATCTTTTGGCACCCTGTTTTGTCTTTCCAGTATCTATTTCAGTTAAGAGATGGGTTTATTCATATATATATATAGGCAATATTTCAAAGTCAGAACAACACTGTTACTTTTTTTATTAGCATTATTTTAGTTAATAAATTTTAGCCAATATCTGCACCTATCTTTGTATGGTCATTTGATATAAAATATTCCCACTAAGTTGGGTGTGCATAGTAAGTTTTTGTGGCTATAACAATTCTAAAATACATCTCTATGATAATTTTTTTACTCTAGATTCAAGTGTGATTTTTGGTAAATATGTTATATTTTTTTCTGAGTATTTGAAAATCTGTCTCTGAAATGAAAGAATGTGGTTTTGTCTTTAACAGCAGAACATACAGGACAGTATGAAGAGTAAACCAGCATTCCAGGCTCAAAAGATCCAAAGCAAGGTGAGTAACCTTTAAAGTGCTGTTGTCAGATGTACTTGAAAACTTTGGAATGAGAAACACATATGCAAATTCTATGGTGATGCAAACTCTCCTGGAATCCATGTTTCTACACCAAGTTCTGTGGCCAGGAGAATGGGATGGATTTGGTCTATGGTTCATAAATTTATGCACCATTAACAGTCAGCTAAGAAATGGTCTGGGAGCAACAAGAGTGTGGCTGCTCCAGGAGGGAAGAGAAACCAGGAGACAAAGGTAACTGAAGCACAGACAGTGCCCTCAACAACCACACCACAGGATCTCAACGTGACAAGGTTGCTGGTAGTGACAGGTTTTGCTGACAGAGCAAAGTAACCAGTCAGGTTTGGGGTCCACCCAGGAAGTCCAGTCAGGAGACAAGGCTACAATAGCAACTCAGGCCCATGGAATCAGGAAACAGAACTAGGGAGACAACCAGGAGCAGAATTAACCCCAGGGTAATGGGAAATTACTGAAGCTGAGCTTAAGTGGGGCTCCTAAACCCAGTGAGGGAGAGTTTGAGTGGAGGCCCTAAGTGAGGCTGCTCAGGGCAATTAACACCTTTGGTTCTCTGAAGGTCCTGACAGGTCAGTTGTATTCAGTAAATAAAGTAACCATATTGCCTTAACAGTGTTTCCAAATTCTTGCATCTGTAAATCACTGTTTCAAAGTGAGATCCTTAAGAATTCTGAGCAGTCATTCCAGCTGATGACTGCCTGATACACAATATACAATCAGGCTGGCTGTTTATCTTGTTCCTTTAGGCACACACTGAGGTCATAAAATCCACTGTACTGATTGCTTCTCTGCTAGGATTTCCAAGGGTCAGAGAACTGTAAACATGGAAAATGGGCTGTTCAACCTTAACAGTATAATGCATGAAAACTCACATTGTTATTTCTGCAATAACTGTACTGCAAATAATCTTCAATCTTACATCATTCAATCTGTCACCTTTCATTTGCTTCAAGTTCATATGCAGAATAATTTAATGTGGAAGCTGTGCTTGTATTGTGACCTCAAATACCTTGTGGGCAGGTACCTACGCTTATAAACTATGTATTTAGGTACCACTCATATACACTTGGAAAAACTGATTCCACACTGGGTAACTGAGAATCTGGCAACTATTTCTAAAGAATATCTGGCATTTATCACACACTGAAGTTATCTATAATAACAGTATCACCTGCTCAGTCTGCTTGCTGATAATCCAGCAGCATCGAGTTTAGAGCAAAGTAGGAAAATCCCAGTTCCTTCTACACTCAAAAGAGGGGGATAAAAGCCCAAAACAGGAAACATTTATATGGTTAAGCCAAAGATGTAGGACATGTAGTTATGTGGGCTCAGTTCAAGCCTATGTATATTCTACTTCGTATTCTGATAATTTAAAATACCAAAACTGTAGTGCAGGCTAGTGAGAGTCAAACCATCTGCCTAAATTGCATTAAGAAAAATATGGATCTGGCATCTTGTGGCATTGATCGAGGACACTTCTAACACCTGCTAGTATCCCCTCTAGGCACATCATCAGTTTTATCTTGTCAAAACACGGTTTCCTTTAAGGTTAGTTAGGTGATATTCAAGATGCTGCTGTAACTTTCAAGCTGAAGTAGGCAAATTGTTACTGACTTTTAAAATATTTTCTATTCCTCTTGCCTTTCTGCCTGTGCAACTCTGTGAGTAGCCAAATCCTAAGAGGAAGGTTTATCCAAGATGTAAAATAAGGTTATAATATCATCAAATGAATCAAGTTATATAAACTTGTTAAAAACTAGTATTTTCCTTTCCTCTTTTTAGAACACCCACAGAATATGAAATAATTTTTTTTCATTTCAGACACATTTGTTTTATGCAGCAGCAATTATTTCTCATTGCTGTTACAAAATATCTACTCATCCTTTTCACTGGAAGAATTAGACAGTACAAATGTATCATCATTCTGTCTCAGTCTGCCTCTTGCTCATGTCAGGCCTTGCTCTTAACATATTTACTGGTTTAGGTAAGCTATTGTGTGTTCATTAGGTGGAAGTAGTGAATTCAATTTTTTCCATAAGAATTACAGTGTTCAATTTTTCCAATTATTTCCATTTTCTCATCTTGAAAAAAGGGAAGATACCTTGGAAGAGAAAAGGCATGAGTAAAATTAAAAACTTCCTTGATATCACATGACATAGAAGAATCTATCCAGTTATCTTACTTATACCTGTCTGCATTTATCTTGGAAGTCCCTGTTATTTTGACTATGATGGCTTCAGTCATATTTCTGTTTAATAGACTGGAAAACTGAAGTTAAAGGTATTTCCATTTTTCTTAGTTTAGTTCTCTATCCAAATTATAGTTAGCAAATGCGGAATATTAAATCTGTATACACAGTTAATTGCCAATAATATGAAAATACCTACATGTGTAAGAGAAAATTCTAAGCCAGTACAGGGTATGAAATACAGGCTGGGGAGGGATTATTCATATAATGCAGACAACTTTGAGAAAAGTTGAGAAGCAGAACAAAAGGAAGGAGAGACATCACTGGGCATTAAGAAGACTAAGTGGAGCAAATCAAACAAAATAAATAAAATGCATTGTTTGGGGCTCTCTTCCTGAATTCTTCAAGTTATCATTTTGTCAAGAAACAGAGAGGTAATTAATTTTTGTCCATTAAAATGTGCCATCTGTGTGCAAAGCACTGTAATTATGCTTAGTGAATTTCTAGGTGAGAGCACATGTTTGTTATCCTCAACCTACCTAATTAATATCTATTACAAAACATCCTTTTCCCAGTTAGCTTATGTATTTCAGCAGACTGCAGTACACAGTTGTGCATAAAATATTTGCAGTGTATATCTTGAGAGATTCCCTGTGTCCTTTTCTGAGCCACTCATGAAGCTGTTAATTTGGCATTTAAATATATGTTTGGATTCTGAACACTTGTCTGGATTTAGGCAAAATGTGTCATGAATAAGCTTTATTTTATGCAGGAATGATCCCAGTTCTTATCCCACCAGCACTCGTTGCCTTGGTTCAGGTCAGCTCTATTATATGTGTCTGCAAAGGTGATAATTTTTTTCAGAATAGCCGATTTGTGCAGGAAACATTTTTAACTGGCAGAGGTTGGTCCCTTCCTCCCTCAGTATTCAGAGGTTGTCTAGGAGTTAGTCCTAAGGCAATACTTGGAAGAACTGCAAAGCAGCCATAGCGTAGTCCAAGTTACACCACAAGGCCTGAAAGTCACTGAGAATGTGCTTCACTTCTACTGTCTAGAAAATAGATACAGCCATCGGTGATGCCAGTTGTCTTAGAAATATTTTGAAGTCATGATTATTTGTAAAACACTACTGAGACCTTCCTATGAAAGTTACTGCTTATGTTTTACTTGCCTGGTTTTGGCTAACTTACTATATTTGGGAGAAGCAGTTTATTTCCTTTGTCCAAAGCAGATGGGATCCCTGCACACTAGGTATATGAGCGATGAAAAAAGGAAAGTGAACACATTCTATGGGATTTGACATGGTCCAAGAGTGATTACAAATTTATAATCCACTTGGGGAACTTTGCTGATTTCTTAAGCAGCTTGAGTGGTTTATGAGCAGCATGCAGTTTCATTGTGAATGTCAGATTAATGCTAGATGAATGCTTTAAACAAAATTTATGCTGTCTTAGGTCAATTTATTTAACCCATTGAAATGTTTTTATACTCTGTTTTATGGTTTACATTACTAACTATAGTATATACATTCTCTTTCCTGACAGATTGACAATATACCTATTAAATTAAATGCTGCAGCTATTTTGAGAGAGGGTGCCCTCTATCAGCAGAAAATGGAACAGGAGCTCAAGAGGTACCACGCTTGTTTCTTCAATTACTTCTAACATCCGTGGATGTAGAGTAACTAACGGCATTAAAAATAATTAAGTAAACTCCAGGTAAATTAAATGGATCTGTTTTAAGGCAATAGGAAGCCATTCTGTGAACACGGTTAACAAATAAAGAGAAAAGTGGACTGAAATGAAAGTCTACGTTAAAGTAATTGTTTTACTGTGGCCATTATGCAGTGTGTGCCTGTGTTCTGATTTAGCACTCTGACTAGTGCCCACTTGCAGAGTCCAGTGAGGATCACTTGTTATGTTTATTCCAGTTCTCCAGAATAAATAATGACCCAAATCCACATCTATTTCTGTGCCCATTATAAAAGATGCATATAGATTAATCCAAACCATTTAATACACCTCAATTTCCTTCAATTGTTTGTGGTTAACTACATGCTGAATTCGATATTTGAAATTGTTTATATATATATAAAACTTGTTTATATGTATATAGAAATACTGACCATTTCTATCACGGTAAGATATGGAGGACTAAAGAGTGTGAGGCTCCACAAGGCAAGATGAACCAGGAGCTAAAGGTGACAGCAAGGCAAGCAGGGACAGTGTCCTCACTGACAGCAGCTCAGTTCCCCAGCACCCTGGCAAGGCAGCAGAGCAGACCCAGTGAGAGGCAGCTCTTTCAGACGACCATTCCAGTGACTGCTGGGTGGTGCATGGTGACGAGACAGGGCTGAGGTCAAGCCAGGAAGCCACATCAACAAGGCAGGGTCAGCTGCTAGGCTGGGTGAGGCAACACCTACAGCATAGCCCAGGGCAAAGGCTGTTAACAACGTCAGCTTTAACGTGGCTCCCAGGAAGAAACTACACACAGAGGACTTTTCATAGCTCTCCCTCACCCAGCTCTCCTCTCTCCAGTCTGATCCAATGTTACATGGTTCCACTGCAACAAAGCTATCTTTGAACACAAGCAATTAAGTCCTAGGCAGGGGTGGGGAATAAGAGGTTGCAGGTCCTTTTGGTGCACTTAGGGCTCTAAGAAATCCTGACATAGGGATTCCTCTGGCATAAGGAATCCTTATTCAGCAGCATGGGTTTTCAGCTGACATTAACTAGGGAGAGGGTGATGCCTGAATGGCCACTGCAGGTTGCATTCTATAACTAGGATTACAGAACATTTTCACTAATAATTTTAACAAAGATAAAGCCTATACCATGGCATCTTGATTTAGTATTGTTTCTAATCCTAAATGTTTTTAGTGTTTTAAGTCCCAGAATGATGGCCTAAGGTTGGGTTCGTTCTTTGGACTTAGCAAATTTTGGTATATAGGTCATGATTTTAGCAGTAAGATATTATGCATCACTTAGCTTCTGTTATCAGCTATGTATGGATATTAAGGTTCTTTTTATCACATATAATACTGTTCACTTTGGCAGAATTTTGTTCCACTCAGCAAAGGATTAGATTTTCCCTGTAACTTTACGCTATTTTTTTATTTATAAGTTTTAATCTTCAGCTGCATTTAACACACAACAGATGCATATCTATATGTTTTAGGGAGCAGCAGTATGGCACAATTCACTGTATTTTTGTGTCTCTGCCCTAATTCCTCTGCTCCAGGACTTTGCTGGGTCTGCCCCAGGGCTTTGCTATGCTTTTCTCTCTCAGCTGAGCACAAAAAACAAGAATGTGGTTTTGCTTAATAGCTAAATATTTCTTTGCCTTATTACAGCAATATTATTTAATTGACAAAATCCAAAACAGAAAGAGAATGAAGAAGAACAGTTTTGCATTCTCTGTGTTAAAGGGGTCAAGAACATCGCCAAAGTGAAAAGTTGTTTGTTTTTCTAGCTCTAAGCAAAGTAATCCTCTGAAAAAATGTATATGCTTTCAATCTGATTCTCTGTGCTCCTTAGGAGAGAATCCGTATGTAGCTAAAGTTTGCCCTCTCTTGGGGCTTTGTTTTACTGAAAACTTTCAGGTCTGTGTCCTCATGCACTTTTTCCAGCCTGGCTGTCCCAGGATTTCCACACAATAGGAACACCTCTTGGACTGGAGTTAAAATAACATCTGTCAAATGATTTTGTGATGACTGCCTTTTTTCTCTGCAGAGATCAAACACCTTATATAACACAAACTACTAGAAATATTTTATAAACCAAGGCAGGGCTGCAGAGCCAGACCCCCTAGAATAGTATGCTCTTCCTCATCTCTTGCAGAGTTGAAAATTTGCTACAAGGGGCTAAAGACCCATCTGAATTCTTGGAATGGCAAAAACAGATGCGTGGAAAAGATTTGGAAGAGCAGCTGGCTGAAATAGAGTGTAGGAGGCTTCAAGGGAAACTGAGTTATGAAGAGGCCCTTCTAGCCCATCAGAACGTAATTCAAGAAAATAAGAGGAAAGCTGATCTAATGAGAGAAGAGGTAATACATACAAAACTGCTCAAATTTTGCTTATACTCAACCAGCGCAAAACATACCACAGATGATACCTACTATAAGGTGTAAAAGTTCTATAGACTGTCTTTGCTCACTGAGGTCTGCAAATGATAGAAAAACAATGGTGTAACTTCAAGACAAAGCAAAGCTTATACATTTAAGTACGTTTTACAAGTGTTTTGTTTGATTGATAACACTTACAAAGTCAATTGAATCAAACAGAACATTCAAGCATTCTCCAATATATTCATGTCATTGTGCATATCGTTTCTGAACAGATACTGAGGTACTAAGCACCATTCTTACAGGCTCCTTTCAGGTATTGGAAGGTTGATATAAGGTCCCCCTGGAGTCTTCTTCAGGCTGAACAACCCCAACTCCCTCAGCCTGTCTTCGTAAGAGAGGTGCTCCAGCCCTCTGATCATTTTCATTGCCCAGTGTCTTCCATCCAAAACAAAAAGTACAGTAAGGAATCTAGTCTGGGAAAATCCAGTTTCCTGCTTCCTGTTAATTTCCTCTGACATAGAAAGGAACATGATAGCCAAAAGTGGACTTTCTGTAGGTTACAGAGATACAACCTAGGCCCAAGAAGATCCTGCAGGCACAGAACTAGCTGTGTATTAGACCGGTCCTCTTGGTATCTCATAACCAGATCCAGAGATGGCTTGTTTGTCTGCCTTTAGAAATATGTGGGAGGGAACCCTGGAAAATAACAGTGCAAATGTTACAGAGGGCTGTTGTGGGTAAATAAAATATAGAAAGTGGTCTATATATTGTCCCCAGCCAATGCACTTTGCTACTTTTGTGAATGAATGATGTAATACTTTTAATCCATTTGTCCTTGCACTATTTGAGGCACTCATATCACCAGATATGAGAAATTCTATTCACCTGCTTGTTTGGGATTTAGAAAGCAGATCTGATGCACCAGTATGCAGAGAAACGTCTACAGGAACAGAAAGAAATGAGAGAGCTGGTGGAGCAGGTCGTGGAAGGACATAAGAGTGCAAAGCAAGCAAAAATAAAGCTCAAGAAATACAAGCAGCAGATAGGTATTTATATTTTGTGAGAAAATTTTGTGAGATCATGCCAAATGTCCCCAAATTAATTTCTTTTGGTGGGTCGATTACACTTTCTACTGGAAGGAAAGGCAAGTTGAGGGAAAGATCTACCCTATACATTACCATGAATGCCTGAATATGATTTCCAGGAATAAGGTGGTAATGGGTTGCTCAGAAATTCTAAGCTACTGGTCATGGGAATACCTCTTTGCTTAGAAGGAAGAGATACAGGACTAATGTTCTGCAACTTCCATCTAAAAGTAGCATGTATGAATTAATGTACTTTTTGTCAAACCAAGGTATGATGCTCAGATTCTTGTGATTCATGCCATGAAGAGAGGATTTGCCTAGCAACCACTGGGAAAGAATCATGGCTCAAAATTATTGTCTTATCCGAAGAAGACAATCCAGAGAAGACTGTGACTAAAAACAGAAAGGATATCTCCTAGAAGCACAGTATGACAAGGAGGAAGGATGTAGCACCTCCAAGACAGACCAGTCATCAGGATGCAGGGAAATTATATTACTCATCCTTCATTATTCTTAAAGAAAATTCTTCAGTTAATGCATTAACTGATGAAGTCCAAGGAGAAGGGTGTTCTGACTAGCACGGTTTTACATATTCCAATGCAATGCCATGTTAACATCTGCTGTATGAACAGGTTACCTGCAGTTGTGCATATTTTGGTGAGCAGACCAAGTATCTCCATACTGGTACCAGTAAGGGTGGAGGGAAGCAGAGGGTGTTAGCCACTCTGAAATGACCAAACAAATCCTACCAGCCTTTCCAGCTCAATTATTTCTGTCATATATATAGCTTGGAAAATTATTAATATTAGCTATTGTATAATATCCTTTTATTGAATAATGGAACAGTATGCACTAGTTAGAACAGAAATTACAAGGCAGGAATTCAAAGTGTCTACTTTATCTGTGTATACAGAATGTTTGTGTGTTGAATAGAATGATAGATAGTGGAGGTGGGAAGCACTCATTTGTTTCTCTAATCATTCCTCCCACCAATGCCAGACGGTTCCCTCAAGATCAGTATGATTATCATTATTCACAAATGCATATGAATTCTCCTCCAGATGGACTACTTGTTAAAATATGCAGCCAGCTAACAGAGATTAGTTGTTTTCTTTCAGTTCAGGAGGTTTCTGAAGAAAATCGAGAACTTCTTCGGCAAGCTTTAGAAGAAGAGGAGGAGAAGCTTAGGAAAAGATACGAACTAATTCAACAAATACGAGCTATTGAGTCTTTACCAAGCCTCAGACACAAGTTTGTTGATTTAACTGAGGTAAGCTCAAAAGTAAAAACTGCTGATTTAACATAAATGTATGTTGTGCATATTTCACATATTCAGAGGAATTACCATTAAGTACAGTGACCCCAGGACACAAAGGTTAGATCTGAACTGGAACTTTCACAATGTTTATAAAATGAAAATTTTCCCAGGAAGAATAGTCTGATGGTAAGTTAAATCTTAGACCCCCTTGAACTTTCATTGGATTTTGCCAGAAGGATTTGGGTTTCCTGATATATTTCAAAAAGAGACTGGCAAATGTTCTGTATTCAAAAATGCACGGATTTGTCAGTCCTGGGTAAGGACTGAATGAACACAAAGTTTGGACTGATATACAGTTGTTATTGTCATGGTAATTAGTAAAATTAATCTTCTGTGCTTTCAAAACTGTTAACATTCAAGTGTGTAAAAGAGATTGTAAAGAGAACTCAAAACCTGCTGAGCTGTTATGCATGTATTGTGCAAATAACGTGTGTGTGGTTAAATCTGCAGTAAATGTATCACAAACTTCTTTGACTTAATATGATGCACAAAACTGAGATGATCTGATATTGGGCTTTGCAATTCCCACTTCTGCAGAATTTCCAGACTTAGGCAGCATCTGGAAATGTTAGCTTACCACTAAACCTAGTGGTACTCAGCAGAGTAGCTGAAAATACTCTTCCCTTTTCTTATCTACACTGAAAGAATAACAACATAATATAAAATTGCACTATCAAACTTTGGGTTTTTTTCTTTCCTTTCATGAGTATTCAAATGAAAATCACAAATTAAAAAAATAAATCCATGGCTAGTCTGCAGAAACTATAGAGAAGGAACAGGTCTTCTATCCACGGGGCTGTTGGAACAGTCAATACAATGTTTTGTTTTTATCTTCTGCTCCTCTGAAGTGAGTTATTCCTTGAATAGCTACCTACCATCTTTGCAACCACTAGATAAACCCCCCACCTCATTTATCAAATTTTATAATAGATTTAATCTTGAAGTGTGAAATAAGTGAACAAGAATAAATTCAGAGCCCCAGATGTCTCATCCTCCCTTACTCTTTACTCTCTTTGGTTTGCCTTTATGGCTGTTGCCATCACTTCTCCACTTCCTTTCTAGCCAAAGAAGACAATTCTCTTTTTAAAACCCAGACTCACTTCACCCATTTTTTGAGAAATACTACTGAACTACAAAGGAAACAGCAGAGAAAAAAAAGGTGAAGAGAACAAACAGTTACTGTACACCACACAGTATATGCAAAATGCGAAATGGTACTACAATCTATAGGTCCTTCATTGCTGCTTTTGTCAATCTACTGATGCTACTGGTGACCCTTGTTTGGGTCATGTTTGGTGCACATGAAGGGTGTGGAAACAGAAATCACAGAGCCAAAACTGAGGAGTGAAACATTAGGTGAAAAAAAGTTATTATCTCTTCTTACTGACTCAACTTTTGAAGTTTTAGAAAGAGAAGCTATGGGGGCCAAAACTGCAGGAGATACTCTTGGAGATCTTGAAGGAGTCCCACGGATGGCCACCCAAGATACATTCTCCTTTACTGACAAGCTTGTATTATTAGATTCTTCAGACTAACTCAATAATAATCCCTCTTAAGTACCAATGTTGTAGCAGCAGAGACCCAAGCCTGATTATTGCCCCTGCATCCCCCTCTCCCACCCTGCCTTACTGTTTTCTTCATCTCTCTTGGCTTTCCTCCCTGTTTCATGGACTCACTGCTATGAACAGCCAGAGAATGGTCACTGAAGGACAAGTTCCTGACTAGGCTGCTTAGATGGCATCCCAGACCAGAGAAGAGGAACTGGTCAATTCTTGCAGCCAAACTGACAATCCAAGCATGTGTCTACGACTAAGCATCCTTCCCTTTTCTTGGTTTGTTGTTTTTTTTTTTCTTTTCCTTTCATGTTCTATTTTGTGGAAATCTTAAAGCAGAAGGGCAACTACTATTCTGTCAACAACTCTCTCAGTATTCAACACAGGGGCTTTTTTTTTCCTGCTAAAAAGGATTGTTTGAAAAAATGAAGGCTCTTTAACTGAATCATTTCTCTCCACTAAAAGGATAGCGATGAGTTTTACTTACCTGTTTGTCATTGCCACTTAATTTCAGTCTGAGAAACACCATTTGGAGGTGTGGTTGTTCCTTTGGACTCCACACCCCTCTCCCTTCATCCTTTCCAAACGTTGTAGTTTTCTGTCACTAGTTCTATGGAACTAAGTAGAGCAAGATCTTTGTGATTGAAATCCTAACTAGTGTTATACTCTCAATGTTACACAACTAACACAAAAGTCAGGTTAGCATCTTGACTTCCTGCACCCATATATTGCATTATAATATGCCAGGGTACAAGATACATAGCAGAGATGTGTACCAAAACTATGTTAAGACAGATAAAAGAATATGAGTGTGAAATGGATTAAAATTGCAAAGAAAGCTACACAGAAGCTTTCTGTGGGTTTATGCAAGTTTTCCATATATGCAAAGGATATATGTGTAGACATAGAAAAAGGAAGAGTATATACAAGAGTAAGGTTCACAGAACTGTTTAGAAATTGTCTGTCTTTGTATGGAAACTAAGGTGCCGAAGACTCTTGTTACATCTCAGAATCAGGCTCTTTATCACTCTCATTTCCAAGTGGATTTTAAAAAGCCTTCATTAAACATTCATGTTTTAGTATTTTAACTTCAAGCATTAAGATCTGGATTTTCTGGGTACAAAGCATTGTTTAGTCCTAGTCTTTTTGGAGAAAAACAGTAAATGCCTTCATAGATCAAACCCATAATTTGGAAATAGATAATTAAGTATATGCATATTTTTTAGTTTAAAGTCTGTTCTGGTTTCACAAACTAAAAAATACGGTTTCACACATTTAGAAACTGCAAAAGACATATTCAAACTAAAATATAAGTCAACTAGAATTATCTGGACAGTACATACATTGTATTTATAATTATTCTACTGTATATTTCAATGCTTTTTCATTAAATGTTTTGTTAGCTTTGTGGTTTTACATGTATGAAAGGTAAGCCCTGCCCCTTAGAAACAGCTTGTAAATAATAGGTTAGGGCCATCAAAATATATTCAGCATTATTTGGAACACAATCAAAATGTCCTGGTTTTACTCTTTTGTTCTCCCCTTGATATTTACAGTGTTATTTAAACCTTTATTCCATGTTCTCTAGACTGGTGGCCATGGTTTAATTTGTGAAATGTCAATAGTAGAACTACGTGAACGCCTTGCTCTGCTCAGAGAAGCACAGAAGGCAGCAGAGGAAGAGAAGAGAGACCAGATAATTCATGAAAAACAAGCTAAGGAACAACTTCTTCTAGACAAACTGGACCAGATTTCTGTGTTCAGAGCAGAACTCGGACGAGCAGCTGCTTTAAAGTCAGTATAAAACAGCATGTGACATTTAAGACATTGCAACTTTGTTAATATTTTGCTAGCCCCTTGAGGAGGAAAACAAGTAGAGAGCAAAATACTGCCCTTTAATATGACTTCTGTCAAGGATCACACTGGGGCCAGATTTTCCTTTTTATTCTTGAAAATAATGTGCATCAGATTTAACAAATCTTTTTCATCATTTTCTATTTATGGTTGAAGACACTCTGTAGGCTACTGTTGACAGTATTGCCCCAGAATGCAAAGCCAATGTTATATATTAAGGAAGAAATTCTGCCTTTTTTCTTTTCCTTTGCAGCTCATCAGAACTAATTTGATGTTATTAGGGTCATTCTACCTTGCCACTTGAAGAGGTTTCTCATTTTCATCTAAACCAATACATTAGAGATACAATTTTCTCCCTTGAACTTCATTTGTTATGTGAAAAGGCAGGCCCTGTTTTAGAAGCTGACAATATTCTAGGAAGATTTTCTGATAACAATAATAAGTTATACATTAAATAAATTATAGCAGAAAAATCTTAGCTTACAGGCTCGTTGATCAAATTTTTCATTCATTATTCATATTTATTATTCATTATAATATTTATAATTCATTGTCACAAAGGATCCATAGCCATCCTAGATGCTCACATATGCAGAAGACAGGTCCTTTCCACGAAGTTTAAAATCTCAGTTAAAACTATTTACAAATAAAGCTGAGTGGGAACGAGGGCTATGTACAAGTGTAAGACACCTCCTGAACTTAGGCCATTTTTACTGCACCTTGACTATTTACCATTGTTTTCTTGCAAGTTGTCTGTCACCTTTGCTCTTTTGTGAGTTTGAGAGGCTAGCCCTTGTCTTGCTGTATTTATTTTGCAAACACTCAAGCTGACATTCTGAAGACCTTCTATCAGGCTAAACCCACATCTTTAGACATAGCTTGGATTTGTGTTTATTGCTCAGATACCAAAGGTGGCGTTTTAGAGTTAAATGTGTGTTATTGATTTATCATCCAGTTCTGAATCTCAATTACAGAAGGCAGTATTGATGTATTCATTTGACTAGTCTTCACTAGTCCCAGCTCTAATTTGGTTTGTTGATGATAGTTAATCTCCAAAGACTAGAGTTTTACTATGTTAGTCCTTCAGAAGATAGCTTATTGAGTTTAATGAATCAATAACTGCAGCTGCAGTGGATTGACTGCATGGATCAGTGACCCTGTCTTCTATGGCATATATTGAGAAAAAATTTTAAGGCTAAAGAACCTGAAATAGAGTTGGAGCTGGAAATACACTCTCATTGCTAAACATTAAAAGTTGTGAAAGCCTATGGGAGCAACTCAAGCCAGTGCTTTCCATTAGAGATGCAGACTAGGCTTTAAGAACTTATATACTGCATAAAACCTGTTTAGCTAGTAAATACTTAAAGAATTACTTGTTACCCTGGATAACAGTCTGTGAATTTTGAATAGTGCTGGGTTTCTTTAAAACAGACTTTTTGGCTTAATTGAGATCTAAAACTGTTCTGATCCTGAAATAAGACATGCTTTTATTGAGAAGGTAACTTTGATTCACTCTTTGTCCTGACATTTGAAATGTTTTTGAACATACCAGCATGTAAAAGTTGTTAGAAACCAAATTAACTTAAACACTGAATTTACAAGTTTCTAGTCAAACCCAGGACAAGCAACACAGTCATTTTAATGGAGCCCTATTTGCTCTCCAAATAAAGAAATTACAAAGTTTCATTATAGATTTTAAAGACATTTCCTTTTGTGGCTCCCAGGCAATCCATGTACAGGACTTGGGAGCATAAGCTATAAAACGGCAGCATCAAAATGTACCAGAAATGTTGTTCCTTGGGAGCATGTTTAATGCAATTTCATCTAGAATGCAAATCTATGGTGTTATTTCTGTTAATATAGAAGTATCACATACGGGCCTATTTACAAATGCTACACAAATGCTGCAGCTTTTATTTCTCTCTAAACAAACTATAGGCTTTGTGTGTTAAACCTGAATTACAGATCCTCAATCCTGAAATGTCTATCAAGTCAGTGTGAGTGATTAATTGCTTGGGTCCTATTATATGCTGCACAGGAGGTGTAAAAAGCAAATGTTTATGTTTACAGAATTAATCAATAGTTATAGGAATAGAATGTCAAATCCTACCAATTGTCCTCACAAGATAGGCTTATGTATCAATATAAAATTACATGTTGTATCTTAAAATGCATTATGTTGAAGGCTACTGCTAATTAGTTAAAGGATGGTGGCTAAGCTTTGCTAAACAAATGTGCTTTAGTTAGTGTCAGCTGGAGTTTAATTCAGTGCCTACCAAGCAGGTCCTTTTCAGTATCATTTGTAGGCAGACATACATCAACACAAAAGAAGCACATTGAGCAAGCATATAATGAGCTATATTAAACAAAATAGGAAATGGAACATGAAAAATTACAGAGACATCAGCCTTGAAAAGACTGCAGGCTGTGACATCCATCACAGCAGTAGCTTTGAGAGTGCATGCAGAACACTTCAGAATCAATTCTGTATATAAGCAGGACATCCCTTTAATTCCTAGAATTTCACACGGTTTGAAAATCAGACTGGCATGTGAAGGGACAAACAATTGAGTTCTCAGCCTTCTAAAACAAGAACCAAAAGATTTATGAGTGTTTGAATATGTGCTAAAGTGCTGAAGTTGTGCCTGTATGCTTGAGGTACAATTGCTTTTCATTCCACTGAGGCAACATCTATTATTGCAAGTAGTTTAATGCACTAAGAATCAAGCAACAGATAAAACCAGTTGGTGCTGAGGCTCCCTCCATCCACGTTATCTGTTGTTGGAGGGGTTTGTCTTGGATTTAGTCTAGTCTTGGGACTGCATGCTCTCAAAACTTCACATTCTCAATTCTTCATTCATCTGCAGGCCTGTCTAGTGAACACCACACTATCCTTTTTTTTGTCTCTCACAGATGACAGTAGCACATCCATGCTCCCCCAGTGGCATATATGTAGGGCACATGGAAACCAGCCTTATTCTGTTCTTGCTCATATTCCCGCCTTGTTTGTTTTCCTGTTCGTTTTCAAGTATCACAACCGTGCCTGGTGCCCCAGCCCCCTCCCCTCTCCATGTCAGGGCAACATCCAGATAAAGGTAGCAGCTGCTTTTTCAGAATGTCACTCTGAACTGACACTAATCCTCCTTGACGTACTTGTATATGAGGAAGAAGAATAAGAAAATGGTTGAGGAACAAGGTGCACAGACTCCCACCAGTGCAAAAGTTCACCACATCCCTATCTCACACTGGTAATGGTGCAGCATGCTGAGATCTCAGCACTGGGTTCCAAACATTGGTCTGTTTGCCAAGATGGCAAAGCAATCCTTTCTTTCCCTGCCACTGCCAGCCCTCCTTTCCTTTTTGACAAGAGCCACTGGCCACACACCAATGTAACACCTCTCTTGACCTGAACTGAGGTGGGTAGAAACAGTGTGAAGGCAGCCATGGCAAGAGGACAAAGGGGAATGCTGGTTATGAGGAGAGAGAGGAGATCAAGTAGGGAGATCAAAGGAGGGCTATGGATGAATGACTGTGATGGTCCTTTCCAAGTAGAACAAGCTCCAAGTAGAACAATGGAAGGGGCAGACAACACATGGACATGGAAAGGTGTAACAGGGAAACTTGTGCCGTGCTATCCCTCTGTGTGACTGTTGCTTCAGATCTTCAGTAGCATAGCCTAAAATAATGGGAAAAAAAGCTCAAAAATTACCATGATAAGGAACTCTGGTTTGGTACTTCATAATATTTGTGATTTCACAAATACTTGGAGTTCTGTATGTGTTTGCAATGAGGAAATAAGATTTAGTTTCTCAGTCCCTACTGCTGGAAATTAGTTCTTCTGTAGCATTGGAACAGGAAGAAATTTATCAGCAATGATGGATCAGAAATTTTAGTATGTGAAGAAAGGCTGTAAAGAAGACAGAGCCAGGCTCTTCTCAGTGGTGACCAATGAGAGGACAAGAGGTACAACAGGAAGCACAGGAGGCTGCCTGAGTATCAGGAAACACTGTTTTCCTGTGAGAGTGGCTGAACACTGGCACAGGTTGCCCAGGGAAACTCTGCAGTCTCTATCTTTGGAGATACTTAAAAGCTGTCTGGACACAGTCCTGGGCAACTGACTTGAGGTGGCTCTGCTTGAGCAGGTGGGGGCAGACAAGATGAGCTCTAGAGGTCCTTTCCAACCTCAACTTTCTGTGATTCTGTGAATGGACTTTGATTGTACACCTTCCTAATCTATATTTTAAATGAGAAAAACAGTTACAAATAACACTCACTTCCATCCCTAAAATTAGGTGCTTAATAAGTTAATTATTTTGGAAGGGACTCAGACTTTGAGTGCTTAAATCCCTCACATAAGTACAAAACAGTAATCAATCCAATAGTGTAGCATTTTTAAATGTCAAAATAATTACTCCCTTAACAGTGAACTGTTAACAGATACTTTCATTTTCCTCACTGCAATAACTAATAATTATATAGTGCAGGACAGGAAAAAAGCAAGGTACTGAAGTACAGACAGCACAACTTACTGAGAGTGAAAGGATGAGGAATTTTTTTTAAAATTTAAAAGTAAAATTTAAAATGTTTTCATGATCATCACATAATTTTCTACTGAATCTGGAGAAGATTCCTTTAACTCTGTACTACCCCGTTCTGACTGTTTCCTTAGGAAACACATGCTACAGGGTGGCAGAGATCAAATGAGCTTTTTCTGTCTTCAGTCTTGAAAGTTCTCAACTGACCATCAAAGAAAACCACAATTTTAAAATTTATTTTTTATTCCTTCCACTCTTTGAGTTTCTGTTATGAAGTGGTGCAGCATCTGAAAATCGAGGGGATTGTCAGCTTTCTGAAATAGTGTGGATGACTGGCCCATGACTTCATGTTTAAGACTTAATATTAGTCTGAGGATAAGGAACTATTTACAATGTTAATTCAGAAGCAGCTGCTGCTTCTTCATGATGTGAAACTTCTTGCTGTATTTCCTGTAATTGTATTTACAAGAATCTGGATTTGCATGTAATGAAAGGTTTTGTTGCTTATTCCCACTGACAATATTTAACCAAGTGTCTACATAAAACCTTTTTTGTTATTTTCTCCTATGTCCCTTGGAATGTGATGCCTTGTTATAATGCAGATAGACATAATCCATGTTCTCAATTAGATTAAATGATAGTACATAATTATTTAGATTTACAGAATAGAGTTAAAAATTAATCTCAGTGTAGCAGAGCATGTCACAGTATTAAAGAGGATAAGGAAGTGTTATACTAAGCAGATAGCATGACACAAACAGCAGAGACATTCAGGAGGCACCTCAGGAAAGCAACTGGAAATGAGAAGCCAAGCTGAACTGTGCCCCTTTTTTAGAGCTGACAGTCACATTTCACAATGTAACACGGGTCAGATCTCTCCTTCATCCAGTCCCTGAGGATTTTGGGAACTGTAGTCCAGAATGGCTGCTCTGAAGAATATCTGCTATTATGGAGGCAAACAAAAGCCATCTCTCCCAAGATGAAAGAAGTGTTTGGATCCCTGGAGTCTTGATACAGACACTTTTTAAGGCAAATTGGTGATTTTAGCATCAGAAGGAACTTCTTCCCCTTCCTCCGGCTCCTTGAATGTGCCTTATACTGAAAACACTGTGGTGTAAGACCCAAGAGATAAGGGAAGAGTTCTATTGTAAAACATTCCCAAGGGGCAACCTGCCTATGAAATTAGTCATGCCACTGACAGAATAACAGTTACAGGATTGGCTGAGCAATGCCCCAGTGCATTCTGTTCTTTGTCACTTAGGATCTTAATCTGGTTATCCTTGTCAGCTGAAAGGTGGCATCAGATCTAACCTGGTTACAAATTCTATAATTATGCATGTTTTTTGGCAGATCTGACACTTCCTTTAGCTCTGAATTTGGCCAGAAAATCACAGCTGCTCATGACAGTTTTGATACTACTTGATCGTACTGAGCCAAATTCAAGGGCAATGTTGAATGGAAGAGAAGGTTGGATGCTAAGTGAGTCATAGTGCAAGGTGGTGTAGCCTACATTAAGAAGCTGTGAGTAAATTGTGCCAGTTGGGTGGAAGTAAGCAAAACTAGATAAAATGTAAACTTCAGAGGACAGAAAATTATTTACAATAGAAGGGGGGGGGGGAGGGGGAAGGAAGACTCTGATAACCTCTCTCTTATGCCTTACTTTTAAGCTGCACAAGCAAATTTATGCTCACGTAGTCCCACTAACCTTGATTAATACATCACCATTCCATAAATTCTGAATCTGGGCATTGAGATTACACAGAAAAGAATCTTTCATTTGGCAATGAGATGAATACTAATGATCATATAAGGAAAGTTCATAGTTCTCACAAGCAAAATGCTGCAGTATTATCACAGGTTTTGTGCAAGCTTTTTCTAAGAATGTTATGTCAAGCTTGAAATACTTCAGATATTGTCATCATGGCACCCTGTGGGAAGAAATTATTCTATACTGTTTAGTAATGCTGTTCTTCAAACAGAAAGAAGCCAGCTGTGAATACCATATTCATTGAGGTATATGATTTAAACCTGTTTTGAGCCTAGCTTGTTCCCAAAAGCAAGAGAAAATTTATTATTATCAAGGTAAAATATGCTCAGATGGATTTATTCTGTGGGTTGATATTATTTTACCTTCTTACTGCTTCTTTTTATTTTGCAGGCAAGAGGAGAAGAAAAGAAAGTCCCAGTTTGGTGAAAGGCCTATGAAAGATGAACGCATTTTAAACCTGCAGCAGAAGATTGTAGAAAAAACAATGGAGCGTAAAAAGCAAGCAGAACTCCTGAAGACTACCCCCTGGAAAACCAGCATCCCATCAAGGAAGGTCTGGCAGTTACATAAGGAGAAAAGCTCTGCAATAGACCTGCTGTTCACAGACCTTTGCTCAACTGCCAGTGCTGGCAGGGGGCAGAGGCAGATGGTGCCACACAGGACTGGCAATAGCAGTGCCCTGCTTCCTGTGTAGGCATCATTTTCCCAAACCATGGCCTTGACCTCACCTCCTTGTCACACGTTCTGCTACCACAGAGCAGGGCTCATCCATATGACAGCCTGCTCTTACTGCCTCATGCTCTTGTCCCTTCGAAACAGCATCTTACCCCCTGTGTCTAACTTATGTCATTCTCAGTCTCCTGTCATACACATCCCATTACACCTCACTGGGATGCTCATCCCCTCCCACCCAAGGCGTGTTCCAGTTTATCGTTCCCATGGTTTTTACCTCACCCTTCCTCAGCCTGGTTCCCCACAACTTCATGCTGATTCACGCCGATGGTGTTCCCTTGGCAAGTGTCTAAAGACAAGTGGTGAGGAACCAAGGTTCCTGCTGCTGCCTCTGCCATTGCCCCATGCATGCCTAACATTTAGAAGTGGTATATTTACCAGCAACAGCACATGTACCACAGCATGTGGAACACCGCAGTGAACAGTCATGATGGGATCACTCTTTAAAAGGTGCACTAGCCCAATGTAAAATTATAACTAAATCTCCCATTCCATTACCTATCTCAACTTAATCTCAGCTTTTTACCTATTTTGTGAAAAAGTTACATGAAGCTGAATTCAGTGAAGAGGAAAACAGTATTTTTCAAGTGTTTAAAAAACAAAATAGCGCAATCTTTCAGAATATCAATGTTTCCTTCCTTCCTTCAGAATTCCCATTTCAGGCAATAAAAACGTGTTTTATATAGACAATAGTTTTTATATAGACAAAGAGGTCTGTCCCTTTCAGCAAAGAAAACTTGGAAGACCTATTTGAATAAAGCATTTCCTAAACAGGAGTGGCTTTCTGAACTGAGGTTTTGAGTACATGCCTTTAAACACTTTGCTGAATGGAGTCCAGAATAAAATAGAAGTAATAAATGCAAACTTCAAAGGAAAGCAGTCATATAATTACAAATGTGAGACATTTTTAAAATAAACAAAAAGAAATTAAGAATTCACAGCTAGAACTTTTGACTACCTGATGTAGGTCTGAATGTGTATTCCAGGATCATAAGAATGAGCCAGGAAGATGGGGTTTGAAAGCTGTTTTCATGTTGGACTTTTTCTTGAGCTTAGGTTTACACAGGAAGTCTCTTAAGAGGCCACAGTGGTGACCTCTCAAATCTTAAGACACCTGCAAAAAAATAAGAAAAAAACAATAGGAAAAAAGCAAGGTTACTATAAATTTTATTTAGCTGATTTGGTGTATCTTCTGTCAGTGCTGTTTGGCTCTGCATGACCCTATCCAAATGTTAGCAGAGGGAAGTGGCTTAATTCTGGTCAAATATATTCAGCAGCATCTCTATTGTAGTTGAACTGCCTATTGCTGAAAATAGTGTTAGTGTGACTGTAGGAGAAAATTCCAGCCATAGTTATAATGCAATAGGTCTCTGGCATTCTGTCTGGACTGCTACCCTTTAGGTTCCTCAATAAGTAGGAACAAAAGTGACACTAAGAGCCCGTATTAAAGTTACAAGTCCAGATTGTGATTTCAGTTACATTTGTGACAGCCCTTTAAGCCCAATGTGATAGTGCTGATAAAAGTCAAGGTAACATTTGTTTATAAATCACTATTACATTCTTAATAAAATAGAATTTGTATTGCATTTTGGAAAACCAACCTGAAGAAAAACTGCCATTAATGGGAAAAAGGTACTTTTCTACCCTGTTAAGCAAAGAATCAGATGGAAAAGTAGCAGTTTTCTGTCTGTTCTGAGCTTTTTTTGGGAACTCTCCCTTGTGAACCCAGCTTTTGAATTAGAAAACCAGTAGAATCTGATAGGATTTCTGCAACTGTTCATTTATGGTTTCAAGAATAAATTGTCAGCAAAGAAAAAACATAAGGAGCACACCATCCAGATGTAGTTTTATCTTGACTTAACATTTTGTGGAGCACTGAAGCTGTGTTTAATTTACCTTAAACTGGGCAACCCAATCAAGTTAACTTTCTGTTCATCATGCCCAATTTGATGTTGACAAATTTCCCAATCACATTAGCAAATAAACTGTGGTGCCAGCCAGCCGGCTTATCAACTAGAAGTTCAGTGTAATCCGCTAAACAGAACAGCTGTATTCCCTGCAGTCTCATCACCTATGTGTCTTTTCTGCAGGATTCTTTGCAATGGAACCACTGGAAAGAAGTGGAAGGGAGTCGGGAACGACAGTTCAAGATCCTTCAACATGGCTTCATGGCCAGAGAAACAGATCAGAAAATGGCTGCCTGAGGCAGCAAGAAATGGAGCCACAGTCTGTATATTGTGCTCTGAAGTAAAATAAAATACATCTGGAACAAATTCAGGCCTGCTGGAAATCTCCCAGTGTGCCTGATTACTACCAGGTTGAATTTTAATCTTGATTTCACCTTTGCAGTGTGATTAGTGATTAGTGTGTATGCTATGCCATGGTTTGCTATGCTTGTCTTCCAAAGCAATAAAAATGAGGGCAAAAAACAAGCAACATTTGTTTACGTATGCATCTTTTCAGAGGGTATGGTCTGCCCAAGTTCCTAACACGTCTTCCTACATGACAGTAACTGTAAGAGGATCACCAGCTTCAACACCAGTTCTAGAGGGTGAGGAAAAAAACTGGTTAGAAGATGTGGATGATACTATAACCTCCAGGAGCCAGAGTCAAGATTCAGTGACCCAGACAGACCATCCCTCTACTCGCAGATAAGAATCTCTCCAGTCTTTCAACAGTGGAAGAAGAGCATAACTGTGCTTGATCACTTTAGGGAGCTGCTTCCAGCAAAAGTCAAAATTTTGTTGCTCACATAGAAGGTAATTTGCCCCCTGTGACAATCCTTATACTGTGTAAAACAGCCTTTAAATCACAAGACTTATTCTAGGCACAAAGCCAAGTAGGATATTAATCAGAATTAAAATCTGCACAACAGTAAGACTATGTAATGTATTTCTATTTTAACTCGATGGAAGTTACTGAGTGTTTAATTATGGCTATTGCAAATATTTAAATTGAAGGAGTCTGTTGCTGACACAATATTCAGGCAGCTGCTGCTAATGCCCTCACAACATTACTTTTCTCACTTTTTAGTGAAGGAAGCCTAATGAAATTCTTTTGTTGCCACCTAGCTGTGAAGATTACTTCCACAAGCTGATGAAATGCCCTTAACTTATCATACAAAGTAAATGTTACAATAGTCCACAGAAATAATGTAGAACTCATGCTCAGTAAGAAGAGTTAAGGAACATAGGAGTGTGAAAAGGAGGAATGATAGCAGGAGAAGACTAATAAACTATGTCTAGTAGGGGATTGTAATAGCTTAAAATTACAAACCCTTCATCTTCCTTTGTGGTTGTTCAGCATTCTGTTGCATTGTATTCCAGAACAGCAAAATCAGGTGGTGACAGAAACACCTGTCTTCCTGAAGCTAGCAATTAACAGGGCTGACAGTCATAGTCTGAGGAAGTATGATGGGGTTTTGAAATTTCCATACTAAATACACCTGCCTGTATGTTAAATTATTTTTATTTAAAATAATAAAATTCTCAAAATTATTCTCAAAATGCAAGACTCATCAAAAAGTTTAAGAGGAACTACATCAAAAAGTTTAAGAGGAACTAATCAGCTTCTGATTGTCATAGACACCATGTCTAGTAGGGGATTGTCATGAATCAGCTTGATTGCAATTCACCAAGGATTTTGAAGACTATTTTTGAAAACTGTACTAACATCCCAAAGGAAAAAGCAGGAAGTATGATCATAGAATGATTTTGATTGGAAGGGACCTTAAAGATCATCTAGTTCCAACCTCTCTGCGTGGGCAGGGACACCTCCCACTAGATCAGGTTGCTCAGAGTCCCCTCCAGCCTGGTCTTGAACAATTCCAGGGAGGAGGCTTCCACAACTTCCCTGAGCAACCTGTTCAATATATTCCCATATTTTTATATTGAAATAGCCTATTCATTTTTCAGTGATGGCAGGTTTTGCAACAAAATGCACAAAATAACATGAAAAATACCATGTTCCTCCTGACAAATGTGAGTAACTTGATACTGGAGGCAGCAGACCCTATCTAGGACCACTCTGCCCCTGGAACACCTTCTCCAGGATTCCTTTTCCAGCAATGTGGTACACAGGAATCTGAGGTGATCTGATGCAGAGCCAGCAAAGGCCTTGTAGGACTCGTTAGGGTTATATTACAAAAGCTGCTGTAATGTCATTGGAGCCAGGTGAGCTTTGAAGCAATACAGCTGCATTCACCTGCTGCCTCAGCCAGTATCTGTGGCACAGACCGTCCACAATGTGCTTAATCCACAGAGATAATTGAGTCAGCAATGCCTCTGCACTCATCACGCTCCATGGCAACACAGGTGCATGAATAATTCATTATTCATTTATTTACACATTTGTAACACTATTTGCAGCCAAGAAGATGAGTGTAAGTGAACAAGGCTGACTCTCAAATCATCCAACAAAACAGTCTTAAAAAATCAGAGGTTTCACCTGTCTGATCTTAGTGACAAACTCATTAAGAAACCCTTTTAGTGCTGAAAGCTGCACATTCCAGAGGTCTCTTATTTCAGTGTAAATGGCCAGACCACAAAAGCCTTCAGATGCAACTAGGGGTGTCAGGAGGCCCAGGCTACCTGAGGCAGGTGGAGAGGTTTCAGCCCTGCCCTGCACATCAGACACGGGGTGTCTGCCCTCCTGTAACACAGTTGCTGCTGGGTGGCACTTGTCTCCCTCTTCCAAATCAGCCCTGGTAACAAAGCAAATCCTGGGCTGGGTGACTGCCTGGCCAGGTAATCCAACCTGCCCTAGAGAGCACAGGTATTTTATTATTTAAATGAAACTGAAGACACAGAGATGGTTATCTTGGAATGCCAAGCAAAACAAATACCTGGTACAAATCTCAAGCACAGTTCACCCAGGGGATAAGGTAAGAAAAGTCACCAGGAAAGCTATGAGCTTCTCTACAAGCAGTCCAGAGGCTGGGCATTGGGCACTAAGATCCAGGAAATCCCACACCATCCTTGTGTTAAGGCAAAACAGTTGGGAAAAACCCTTTTCAACAGCAAGGTGAGGGCAGCGAAACACCTCTGCAACTGTGTGTAATGAGTTACATGGAGGATCTGGACTATTTATGCTATGGGCAACAGGTAAAGATCTCCCAAGCTGATGGTGCTGATGAATTTTGCTCAGTGCATTGGAAACATTTCCAGATGACTGACATGAGGCAGAAGGGAACCCTGGAAGGTAATTCACACAATCTCTGGTACAACAGCATTTAAAAGCACAATTCTGACTCAGCTGCCCCTTTCAGGGTCCATCAGGGCCGCACTGACCCTGGGAATCTCATGAGGTTCGACAAGGCCAAGTGCAGGGTCCTGCACCTGAGCCAGGGCAACCAGAAATACCAGAGATATGAATACAGGCTGGGGCAAGACATGCTAGAGAGCAGCCCTGTGGAAAAGGACCTGGAGGTACTAGTGGGTCAAAAGCTGGACATGAGCCACCAATGTGCAGGACTATTTATGCTATGGGCAACAGGTAAAGATCTCCCAAGCTGATGGTGCTGATGAATTTTGCTCAGTGCATTGGAAACATTTCCAGATGACTGACATGAGGCAGAAGGGAACCCTGGAAGGTAATTCACACAATCTCTGGTACAACAGCATTTAAAAGCACAATTCTGACTCAGCTGCCCCTTTCAGGGTCCATCAGGGCCGCACTGACCCTGGGAATCTCATGAGGTTTGACAAGGCCAAGTGCAGGGTCCTGCACCTGAGCCAGGGCAGCCAGAGATATCAGTACAGGCTGAGGGAAGACGTGCTGGGGAGCAGCCCTGTGGAAAAGGACCTGGGGGTACTAGTGGATCAAAAGCTGGACACGAGCCACCCATGTGCAGTTGCAGCCCAAAGGGCCAAGTCCCTCCTGGGCTGCACCAAAAGAAGTGTGGCCAGTAGATCAAGAGAGGTGATTCTGCCCCTCTACTCTGCCCTGGTGAGACCTCACCTAGAACAGTGTATCCAGCTCTGGTGCACAGGAAAGATGTGGAGCTGTTGGAGTGTGTCCAGAGAAAGGCCACGAAAATGATCCGAGGGCTGGAGCAGCTCTCTTATGGGGACAGGCTGAGGGATTTGGGTTGTTCAGTCTGGAGAAGAGAAGGCTGTGGGGGGACCTCACAGTGACCTTCCAGTACCTGAAAGGAGCCCACAAGAAGGCTGGGCAAGACCTGTTCACTAGGGCATGAGCTGTAGGACAGGGGGTAGTGGTTTCAAGCTATAGAAGGGTAGATTTAGGCTGGACATCAGGAAAACGTTCTTCAGTACGAGGTTGGTGGGTCACTGGAACAGGTTGCCTAGAGAGGTGGTGGGGGCCCCATCCCTGGAGACTTTCCAGGTCAGGCTGGATGGGGCTCTGGGCAATGTGCTCTAGTGGGAGATGTCCCTGCTCGTTGTAGGGGGGTTGGACGAGATGAGCTCTGGAGGCGCCTTCCAACACAAGACATTCTAGGGCTCCGGGACCAACAGGATCCAAGGGGCCGCCCCGCGCAGCCCTAGCCCCGCCCCGCACTGCCCCC